TACTGTCTAGTACGCACACGACCAGTATTAGTCTGTAAATCAAGACCCCTTTTTAAAAAAAGCCCCAATCTGTGCCGCATAAAAAAATAACGCCCTCCGGCACCACCTTCGGTGGCGGAGGCATAAAAATAAAAATCAGGAAAAAATCAGGAGAAAAATTTAAAAATCTGGAAACCAATTTAAAATGGGTAATTATCAGGCCTGAATCAATCAATCAAAACCTACCTGGATGAAGAAGTCTGTTCTCAAAGGCACTCCGCAGAGACTGGACCAGCTTCGTTCTCAGGTCGGTCTTCTCCAGGCAGCTCTTGAGGTCGTTCAGAGCACTCATCGATTCGGGGAATTCAACGATAATGTTGAACAGCTCCTACAACAATCAATAGACAGTTCACACTTCATTTAAAGCGGGACTGCATTACTGGTAGCTACTTGCACCCTCTGTATAGCCAACAATGCCTAAGCGGTACCAGTTGATCCCCCATGGTCCCCCTTTTCTTATGCTAATTGGGAGCTAATTTGATGAGATAACAGCCTGCCAGTGACCAAGCAAACCTAGCCAAACTTGTGCAGATAGGCTTTAAGATTATGGATGCTTTTTTTAGCATTGATCAGTTGCATAAAACTAATTTAATTTCAATAGTAAGATTATATGATGCTTACCCTAGTTGTTTAGTGTATAGATTTTGATTGTATCAATTATCAATTTGCTATCCATACAAGCGCATGGATCAGACAAAAATATAGCATCATTTTATTTACTTCCAAATTTAAGATTTTATACATAAATTCCAAGAATTTAATGGAGTAGTTTGGCAAATCGAATGTATTAAACCTTGGGAGTGATTCACAAAGACTAAGATCAAATTGACTTAAGTTAGACTTAAACTATGGCAGGCCGTTCATGGCACTGGTTGCTCTCACCATTCCTGGCATTGGTCTCTCAAGGCAGTCAAGGGAGGTACAAATCTAGGTCACAAATGCACATTTTTTTTCCTTCAACAATAAACTATAAAAAAATGTAAATTCTGTAGATTTGTGACGTCCTTTGAGAGACTAATGGTGAGAGCAACCAGTGGCATTAATGGCCTGCCATAGTTCAAGTCCAACTTAGATCTTAGTCTTTGTGAAACGCCCCCTAGTACATTGAATCTGTTGACTACTGAACACTTGGACTCTCCGAATACCGTAGACAATGGGATAATAAAGAAAAAAACGGATGATATTACCTGAATTCTCAATTCAGCTAATGTCTGATACAAGTAGTACTGAAGCCTCTCTTTCCACTGCTGCAGGGACTGTGACATGACGGGACTTTGAGGGCGCTCTGCATTCTTGCCAAAGAAGACTAGATGTAGCCATCCCATCACTTTGTTGTCTAACCACTGAAAGTGAGACAATAACAGCAAAAATCTTTGATGCATTGCTCTGTTTCAGCAACTCTACTAGATTTCATTTGACAAAATACATGCTTACTGTACATATATGATACTAGTTCAAATATCAACCTTTGCTGGGTACTATTTAGCCAATCAAACTCTCCCCCTGTCACCCCAATACTGGTATAGTTGATGAAAATGCTTTAAATACCCGAGGACAGATTGAAAGCCAGATAGTATGACATACGGGGGGGGGGGGGGGGGGGGGGGGTTCACAAAGATCCTAAGTCGAACCTAACTCTCAGTTGGACTTAAACATTATGGAGAGCCATTTTTAGCCTTAAAATAAAATAAATATTCAAGTATTTTATACTTTTCATAAATTCTACATCAAGAACATGAAATCTCCTTGATAATAGAAAATATGAAAGATTTGAATCAACATTTTATTCCTTTTAAAATAAGTTTTACAAAATATTTTCAAAGATGCTAACGGCTCTACGTAAATGTTAAGTCCAACTTAGGATCTTTGTGAAACACCCCCCTGGCAGGTATCATTTCACGAAACTGATGCAAGTACAAAATTCGCCAACATCCCATTGAAAAGTGTGTATCAAAATTAGCTCAAGTTTCAATGGGATGTCTACAGTCACTTTCTAACACTTGTCAAATTCACAACATCAACCATGGAGTCAATTAGCACTTGCAGCCAACAATTGGGGCAGCGCCAGGAGCGTCACAACGTGACGGACATGTGCGCTATACAAGAAGCCACCATTATTATTATTATTGTACCTAACCCTAAAAGTTGTGAGGTCCACAAAATTCAATAATGTACAATTTCAATGTGGAAGGATGTGTACAAAGCCCCTTGTGGCCAGGGTTTGCTTTGAAAAGGGCTCTATGGTTCTAAGATGCATTCTGGTGCAATCTGGGCCCTATTTCACAAAACTTGTCATCAGTGCAATATTTTTTGTTATAAGCTAGTGAAATCCTTGCTTCTAAGTGGTGTGGTTATCAGCAGATTTGTCACTGATTTTTGTCATTTGTCATTGAAAAAAGGTTTTGTGAAACGGGTCCCTGATTCACATTTTGAAGCATTTCAAACACGTTTTAAGATCAATTACCAATGTCTGGAACAGATCGATTAAGGCACCAAGCAAGCAAGGACACTGTATGGGTATGCAGATTTTTGGGGCAAAAATGTATAACAAGCTTGAGGATCACTCACACTTTCTAGCGACAAAATGAACGACTTCTCGAACTCTCCAGCGCACTGCTGGTCTACGTGATGTTTGATCTTCTGATGGATAATAGATGTGACAGGCTCACCACACACCCTCTCAAGCAAGCCCAGGGAATACCTGCAAAATGAGTCCAAATTTGAGATTATTTGTGTATTACGTGATGTTTGATCTTCTGATGGATAATAGATGTGACAGGCTCACCACACACCCTCTCAAGCAAGCCCAGGGAATACCTGCAAAATGAGTCCAAATTTGAGATTATTTGTGTATTACCCTCACATTGTAATAATAATAATGATAATAATGACGACGACGACAACGACAACAACAACAATGATAATGGGTGACTTCTCATAAGTTAATCAGTGACTAAGTCCAGACTAAACAAGAATTATAGTTCATACTTCTATGGAATGCAGGTGTCATCTTCCTCCTTCAATATTCATGACAAGATATTCTAACAAAGACTTTGTTAAAATTCAGTTCACACTCATATTATCTTTTTCTTCGTATTTCATTGCAAAATTAATTCTTTGGACACTTTCGCAGGATTAAAATAATCTGTACAGGGTAAATGAGTTGGCAACAGGCACTCCATAAAAGTGTGGACTAACTTAGTACGTGCTTAGTTAGTACGCGCTACCGGAATACCACCCAATAATAAATTAAATTAAAAGAGAACCATGAAGAAATCCTTACAACTGTGCATTTATTTGGTGAAAAGCTGTCAGGGTATCCGAGTTAGAGGGGGCCGATATATGTTCTGTGTCTCCTCCCTCATCATCATCACCATCATCCTTCTCGATGTCCGTACTCTCATCCATGTCCATCTCACTGTCATCGCTCGTTCTGATTCGTTCCTTTTTGTCATCACCATCGCTAAATGCTTTAAAGACAGACGAGTACACCGTCTTAACGACTTCAGAAAAGTGCATCGGAGTGCGATAGAAGAGAAGGGCCTTCACGAGGACATCAAAGCGCTCCTCGAGTGACCGGCCCCCATTGGGGAGGACGCTGGCAAGCAGACTGAGGCTGTTAGCATATGGAACGATTGAGGAGTGGAGGATGTTTATTCCATGCGCGAGGCAATCCAGGCAGATCGTTGACGACGAGGTGTCGTCAATCTTGAAGGTGGACCAGAAGTTTGGCGCGATCCTGCTTTGCAGGTCTTGCTGGAAAGTCTCCATAAACCATTCTGTAACTAGGATCTCCAAACCCTGCTCGAGCAGATACTCGACCGCGGGCTTGAACCTTGTTAATCTGTCAATATGCTGCTCCTGTATATGAAACAAAAGTCCTTGTCAGTATAGGTTTACCAAATTTTCACTCATCAGGTTTTTAATAGTCTTTTATTTCTCGTCAGAACTTATAGAAGACAAGAAAAGAATGTGGTAAATGCATTTTTGTCTTCCTTTTTTTGGAGAAATACGTAGCAATTACGATATTCAAGTCAACAGATAACAACAAGTTCAACAACAAATATTCCTACAAGGAAATGGACTTCACATTATGATGATGAAATGTTCGACTATGATTCTACATCAAAAAAGTTAATTAAAAGTAAAAATTAGTGTCGATATTGAAAATCACTTCCTGGATTTCAATTCTTCATTTTCCATTAATTTTTTCTGCTAACCAACCTAGTCTAAACAAAACAAAACAAAACCCAAACTTGTTTCTTTTAAATTCGCACAACAATGATTGAAATTTGAATGATTTATTGTCCGAAATGTCAAATTTGCTCTTCTACTATTTAAATTAATCATTCAAAATTGGAAGACACAAAATCATATTTGATCATCATTCATCGGTTTTTTGTCAACTTTCAAGTTTTTCAAGTCCATCCCCATAATTAACACTCAACAGACCTTATCATTCCCAGCACGGGCCGCCTCCCCGAAGGCAAGGGCGCGGGAAGTACAGTCGTGTCCCTTGTACCCTATATGCTGGTGCGGAGCTAATGAGACGAATTTTAAGCCATTGTTTGATCACAAATCATAAGTTACCACACATAGATAATCGCTAATTAACACTTCAAGAGTAAATTTCATTTAATAATCTACGATAAAACAAAATATTATTGGTCTCACCTTTTGGAAAGTGTTGTCTGAGAGACATTTCGTGGCAATATCCCAAGCAAAGTTGATAGAAGTGCACTTTGCCATTTTCACACAATTCGAAATTGTGGCTCGCTCAATACAATTAAACAATATCTTTAAAATATATGTATAACTTCAGATTTACCATTAGTTATTAGTTAACTGATAATATTTTATGCATTAAAATATTTTTATAAATTGCAATAGGTATTACCTATATGATATAAGAAAGACTTTTTAATTATATCCTCAATAAAAATGTTTCTAATTCATTTTATCCAATATGGCACCTTCCATGGAAGAGCAAATTGAGAGTGTCACCTCTTATAATTTGCGGCCTTTAGTCCTCCATGGATATATATTCCCGTTTGTATTCATATACATCGCTTGGTTGTACATGTTAGTGATTGTCTATGGTGTCAATGATTACTTGGAAGCGGGATTGATCGTTTTAGCAGCCATAGGATGTGTCCAAATTTTGGTCTGCTTGTTCTGCCATTGGTCAATACACGTGAGATGTTCACTCACTTGCAGGAAGGTGAGTTGACGGGGCCGGGGATCGGGCCCGTTGATGGGATGGGGTGGGGGTGGGGAGGGGGTGGGGGTGGTAACATAGGAAGATAACAACACAGATATGCGACATTGAGCCTGCGTCTTATCTTGATGATCTTGTTTTGATGAGTTAAAAGTTAACTGATGTTTTTATGTCTAGATCTAGGCCTCTGACCGTGACCTTGTCACTTAGACTAGAGTAAAGCCTAGGAGCCGGTAATAGGGTGTCTGAACGATTTTTCAATTTTCAATTTGGGATCGTTTTTCACCATTTTTGTTGCCTTATTGGAGTAAAAAATGTAATCAGAATAATACCTTTCAAATTTCAAGACTCACCGATGTTTCTATCAAAAGATACAGCCCCTCAAAAACTGTGCAATATTCATAGCATTTTGGTCAGAATGGACAGAAAAGTGGTTCATGCAGAGTTATAATTTCTGCTCAAAAGCTGCACAGCTAATGCACAGCACGATATGCAAAGCGTGGAGCAAGGGTATTTTCAAACTGTTGTAACAAATGATCCCTTGGGACTAGAGAAAAAAATAAGTGCATGGATATATTCTTTACAGCTGGCCCAACTTATCCCTCGGGGGGGGGGGGGGGGGGGGGGGGCAGTTCGTGAAATTGGTAAATCTCCGAGTTACCATGGAAACGATGTTTAAATCGCTGTTTTGAGCAAGATATATTTAGAATTCCGGGGGTGGCCCCCTATGGGGAATATGGAGAAAAACCTGCTCTTTCATATGACACCACATTTATTGAGTTTCACCTTCAGGATCATTTGTTATAAAGGTTTGAATTTCAAATTTTTCATAAAATCATTGACCAATTTTGCTTGGTCGCGCAATGCATGTAGACCACATAGGGATGTGTGCAATCTCTATGGGAAAGATTTTAGCACACAACATCGGGTGCGCGATCAGACACCCTACCGGTAATCGGCCAGCTCCAGTTTTCGGCCGATTGGTTGGATGCAAGGTAAAATCACTCTAAAATACATCGCATAATAGCATAACACATATCCTACTCATACCATACCATGCCAGTGTCACTGAAGAACCACATTTGTAATGAAAAATATATCCTAAAATATCACATTGTAGCGATGTAATCGGCGGTCCCGCTACCCGAATCTGAAAAATCGAGCATCTTACGCGTGTATGTAAGAAATATGGGTACCATAAAATCAGCTTTATTTCAAGTATTTTCCAGATTTAGAGCCCGATTTTGTGTTAGTCGCAAGCTCAAAAGTATCTCATCGCATGTATTAAATCAATGCAGCCGGACCCTGCCACGCACACACGATATGTCTGTCTAATTCAGATTCCAACTTCCGATCACCGCTGTGCCTGTCTTCGGCCAGGCGAGCACCAGGGAGCTCCGGCGTGGGATACCTGCTCTACCCGCTTGTGCTGTACATCAGCGCGGAAACGCACGGCGCGCGCGAGCGCTTGACTTTGTACATGCGGCCGTAAACTGAAACGCTCGGCCGATAACTGGCTCCAAAACGGTGAAAATTGAAATGAATATTGTCATGGCAATTCGTGATTTTTTTCTGGGATTCTTTTTCTGTTTAAATAATAATAATATTTGCTTCATGATTTGAACAAAAAATGATAATAAATAGGAAGTAAAGGGTCCTAAAAATAGGATTTTGTCTTAAGTGGCCGAAAACTGGCTCCTTTACTCTACTTGAGTTGTGTGAAACAATAGGTCTAACTTGATTTTGATTATTTATCAGTAGAGTAAAGGAGCCGATAATCGGCCAGCTCCAGTTTTCGGCCGATTGGTTGGATGCAAGGTAAAATCACTCTAAAATACATCGCATAATAGCATAACACATATCCCACACATACCATACCATGCCAGTGTCACTGAAGAACCACATTTGCAATGAAAAATATATCCTAAAATATCACATTTTAGCGATGTAATCGGCGGTCCCGCTACCCGAATTTGAAAAATTGAGTATTTTACGCGTGTCTGTAAGAAATATGGGTACCATAAAATGAGCTTTATTTCAAGTATTTTTCAGATTTAGAGCCCGATTTTGTGCTAGTCGCAAGCTCAAAAGTATCTCATCGCATGTATTAAATCAATGCAGCCGCACACCGCAACGCACACACGATATCTCTGTCTAATTCAGATTCCAACTTCCGATCACCGCTGTGCCTGTCTTCGGCCAGGCAAGCACTCGGGAGCTCCGGCGTTGGATACCTGCTCCGCCCGCTTGTGCTGTACATCAGCGCGGAAGAGCGCTTCCTATTGACTTTGTACATGCGGCCGTAAACTAAAACGCTCGGCCGATAACTGGCTCCAAAACAGTGAAAATTGAAATGAATATTGTCATGGCAATTCGTGATTTTTTTCTGGGATTTTTTTTTTGTTTAAATAACAATAATATTTGCTTCATGATTTGAACAAAAAATGATAATAAATAGGAAGTAAAGGGTCCTAAAAAAAGGATTTTGTCTTAAGTGGCCGAAAACGGGCTCCTTTACTCTAGATCTAGGGGCGCTGGTACGAGAATGAGGATCATCCTAAAAAAACGAGGATATTCTTTTAAACGCGGACAATATGCGCCCTCAAAAATAAGAATTGTTTTCCTTTTCGCGGATGTTTTTTTTCATCGGCGCTCTGCAGGTTTAGGTTTACCGAACCGCCCGCTGGCGATGCGAAAAATGGATTCTCCGTGAGAAAATAACCCTAGTTCGCCGTCTATTTTGCTGGGTTGTCCACTTCCCAAGGATTTATTGCTCATAATGTGAAAGTCTCTGTGCAAAGTCAATGTATTAACTAAAATGCATCAAGAAAATCATAGCGTAATCCATTTTTGAGGACATTTTTCCCCTTTTTTCTTCTTTTCCTGCAGGAATCCAATCCCTTTGACGCAGACTGGGTGAAGGTTGTCCCTACAGCCAACAATGGCTATCCGGAACTGGTCCAGCTCCACACGGAGATTGTAAGTAATTCTGATGACCCCTGGCCACTGGCCTCAAGATCAAGTGCACTCAATGCTGCACAGTCCTGTGTATGCAAGATCTCCACTAAAGTATATACCAGAAAAGGGTGATTTGAATATTGCATTGAAAGGAGTGTGCAGTATTTGATAAGATGAGGGAAACTAAATGTTGTCTATCCACTGGCTGACCAAGAGGAATATTCAACAGTGGACAGTTGACCTTTCATGTTTGTTGTACTCGTTCTAATTATGAAACAAAACAGTCTAAGTCTTGGGTCAAAGTGTTTTTTTAAGGATTTGTTTATAAGTTTGTTTATAAGTTGACTTATACTTGCCCCAATTTTAATTTAGAATAACTCCAAGTTCAGGAAGAAACTAGAAAAACAACATTGCTCCTGTTTGGTAGGATATTATTCATGATTAAGTGGTGGTCTTAAGATGTTGGTGCTTGAAGATAAGCCAGGTTAAATTGAATTCAATTGAATACTGAAAATTACTTGATTTTCCTTGTGGAATCCAAACGTCTTCAATTTACGACAACTGTCTAAACAATTTGTGGCACAGAAGGGTTTAGGTCTCCTGAACATTCAAATTAGCCTTTGAAACATTTTCCCCCCAATTCTTCTTTAACCATTTCCACCGTTGGTCTTCCCGCAGCACCCGACCACGGAGAAGCGAGATCTGTGGTTTATGTTCCAGAAGGCCAAGTACGTCTACGATGCAGAGGAGAAGAAGCGGTTCCAGGCGGTGGAGTTCCCGGTCAGCCACGCCCTCAAGACCTACCAGTCTTGGAAGGGGTACCAGGATGACAGCGAGGTTGCCGAGACAAAGAAGAAGTTTGGAGACAATCAGTGAGTGGTGTTTGCAAGGATTTGATTGATATAATGTTTCAGAAGGAAAATACGTAAATGGAAAATGGTGCAGTTATATATGTTTGCAGAGCTGCCAACCATTCCGTTTTTGCCGGAATTACTCCCGTTTTTTCCTCCAAATTACGGTATTACGTTTTTTCTTCATAATTTCTTTTTTTTTTTTTTTTTTTTTTTTTACATACCGCACATCAAACAACTGCCCTAAAATGGTGATCACAAATTCAACAGAAAACTAAATTTAACACATACTTGAAAAGAAAAATATTCTCAAAAAGAATGAAATGCCGATACCAAAATATCCACCAACAAAAATTCCTGCTTGTATGAAAAAAACAGCATGATGAATGAACATTTCTGCATTGGAAGTGTGTCACGCGTGGTTGTAAGTTTCGTTTTTATGAATTCCTTTTTTTTTGCCATCATGATTCCTTTTTTTGTCGCACAAGGTTGGCAGCTCTGTGTTTGTTGTCACTTAAAATGTATTATTGTAGGAGAATGATGTATATGAAGAAGAAAAAATCATTGTCAAGCATTTTTTGAGCTATTAACAAAGAAATAATGTCTTGTCAACTGCTTTATACAATTCAAATGCCTATGACACTCGTACAAGAGGTCCTGGGTTAAGTTGTGCTATGTGCTCCCCTCCTTAGGCAAGGTCCCGTTTAACATAGGTGTATTGGGTTGGTATTTGGCACTGCTGAGATATTGGCTGGGGACTCGGGAAGAGCAGTATGAATACTGATGAAACTAAGCTGGGCTAAGAAGACCATATTATTAGTCGGTATATAACATCCCTTGACATTTACATTGTATATATACTGATTGATTCAATAATGTTGATCATTCAATAATGTAAAGTAATAAAATCATGTGTCTCGTTCATATACAGGGTGGCAATGGACCCTCCGGAGTTCAAAGAACTTTTCTTAGAGAGGGCCACAGCACCTTTCTTTGTATTTCAAGTTTTCTGTGTGGCCCTCTGGTGCCTTGATGAATATTGGTATTACAGGTAAGTTATAAAAAGAAAATTGTCCCTTGTTTCTTCTATCATTCTGTCTGTATATATCTCCCCCTCTCTTCCTTTCTCTCTCTCTCTCTCTCCCTCCCTCCCTCTCTCTCTCTTGTCTCTCAATCTTTTTACCGTTTTACTTTCTCAGTCTTTGACTTTCTTTTAATTTCTCTCTTTTCTCTCCCTTGCTGTCTGTATTTTGTCCTCTCATTTTCCTTTTCTCCCGTTCCCTTCCCCCCACCCCCACCCCTCTCTCTCTCTCTGTCATCATTTTATATCTTTATATTCCTTGTTCTGTCTTTATATGTTTCTGTTTGTCCATCTCTAATACCTGCCTACTCTTCCTCCCTCCTTCCCTCCCTCCCTCCTTCCCTCCCTCCCTCATCTCAACGTTAAAATGTACCAATTTGATTTGATGCATAACTGAGCTAACTGCAGTTCTGACACCCCTTCTTCATCTTATGTACTATTCTCTCCATCTTATCCGTACCACTATCTCAATGTATATTTTTACCCTTACCGGTATTCTATCCTATTCAGACAATGAGAAATGTTGTGATCTTGATTCTTTGTAACTAGTTTATCTGTTTAATACTTTTGTTTTACAAAGCAGATTCTTGAAAAACATTTATTTTTGTCTCTGATTTTCACTAGTGTCTTCACTTTGTTCATGCTGGTGACCTTTGAGGCAACTCTGGTTCATCAACAGCTCCGCAACCTGACAGAAATCAGGAAAATGGGGAACAAGCCTTATATGATACAGGTAAGATATTCAGCATTTAATATATTTCTAATAATGTGAACATGGGAGTATTATAGATAATGTAAAAGTGAGATCCAAAACCAGAATCAAATCCCTATTCAGACATGATGCTGTAAACTCCTTCAAAAACCTGCAGCAGCAAATACTTGCTTCGAAATACTAGTTTCTATTTAGTCTACTGCCTCGTGTTTGACTGAGCCTTAAAGAGAAGGTTGAGTTCTGGGAAGAGGTGAAAAATAATTTGTGAGCGTTATCATTGTTATTATTGAATGGTGGAAGAACCTCAGATTAAACATGTTCCCTGAAAAGCATGGCTCTTCAAATGCCTTCATATTCTAAATATGACATGAAACATCGTAAAAATCCGGGTAGGATTTTTTCGCCATGTGTTTGTGTAGTCCCATATACATCATTCTGTGTACAGTGCTTGTAACTTTGCCAAGATTTGGCCAAATTTATTATCATTTTGATGATTCCAGAACCTTGCAATACACACAAATACTTACATACTAGATGATCAACCTTTTCTGATAGATTCCACACCGTTTCTTTTACATTGCAATCGCATCATCAGAACTCAACTTTATCTTTAAGTATGCGCATTGTCAGTAGGTACATTATCAGGATACTGATGGAAAACCTGTGCTCTACATCATACTCTTGCACCACTGATCCACCACTTTTCTTTCTTACCCAACCCCCGCCCCCAGGTGTATCGTAACCGCAAGTGGCGCCCCATCTTCAGCAGCGACCTGGTCCCAGGGGACATCTGCTCCATCACCCGGTCTCAGAACGACAACCCTGTCCCTTGCGACCTTCTGCTTCTGAGGGGTCCCTGCATCGTGGACGAGTCCATGCTGACTGGAGAATCTGTCCCTCAAATGAAGGTAAGTCACGTAAAAAAAAAGATCTTTAAAAAAAAAATACAAACTATTTTTCTCTTCTGTTTGTGTGTTTGTTTTTTGATGGGGAAGAGGAGTTCTAAGAATCTTCAAATGTAAGAACACTGTGGTATGTATTAGTGTTATGGTCTAGTAGTCAAGTTGGTGGACTATCGATTACGTGGTAATGACTTGTGACCTTCTGCTTCTGATGGGTCTTTGCATTGTGGACGAGTCCATGCTGACTGGAGAATCTGTCCCATGGTTGAAGGTACAGATTTCAAAACAATCTTTTCTCAATATTCTTTCCTTGGGAAGGGGGCTAGGGGGATTCTTCTAAGAGCCCAAAATGGTGGAATACCCTGGTATGTATTTAGTCTCTTGGTCTAGTCAAGTTGGCAGACTGTGAATCACACGATAATGAATTGTGACCTTCTGCTTCTCAGGGGTCTCTGCATTGTGGACGAGTCCATGCTGACTGGAGAGTCTGTCCCACAAATGAAGGTACATCACATCAACGTAGTCTTTTTATCTCAATATTCTTTCTCTAGGAAGGGGGCTAGGAAGATACTTAACTTATATAGTTGAATCTTCACAAGTTTCTTCAGAGTTTCAGTGGATAGAGTTGGAAACGGAAGATTTTTCACAATATCAAAGCTGTGGATGCAGAATAATGGCCCTACCTCCCCCTTAAACTATGTATTTTTTCCATTTCCCCGACAGGAGCCAGTAGAGGGTCTAGAAGGGGATCACATCCTGGACCTTCAGTTTGACACCAAGCTCCACGTTCTATCTGGAGGTACAAAGGTCGTACAGCACACCCCTCCCAACAAATCAGGTCCAGGACTCAAAGGTATGAAATCTGCAACCCCAATGAAATGGGATGTGAACTCTAAGCGATTTCATTAGCCCCTCACCCCCCCCCCCATTTTTTTTTTTTTTGGGGGGGGGGGAGGGGGGGGGGGGTGATGACATCTACATCTAGTTTCTACCTGTTCATATGAACTTGAACTTGAAATTTGACATCCAATAATAAACACATAACAATAGGTGTAGACAGTTTTATATAATAACATAAAAGGATAAAAAGAAAAAGAATCAGAAATCGAGCCTGGTACCTTCGAACATTTAAATACCACTGCTAGGGTCATTGAATAAAGAAACAAATTTGAAATGTTATGAAGTAAAGCTAATTACAAACAATTCTATAATACAATTGTATAATTGATATAATTTTTGTTAGGTCCCCTTCAATATCTGATAAATGGCTACCAGCTTCTTAGCAGACATTAAGGATGCAATAAGTATTGCTGCATATTAAAATTCAAACTCCTCTTGTATTAGACTTTAGTGTGCACTGTAGTTGAGAGAAGTGTTCACATTTCTGTTTATATGAATTTGATGACTGAGAAAAAAAGTGAGCTCTGTGTAAATTTCATATGAATTCATTCATTAAAGGTCATAGATGATACATATACAAAACATATATATCAAATGGAGATAAAGAGGGCATTTCTAACTTTATTTTGTTTTCTTCTCCCAAACTGTTGGAAAAAATCAACAATCTCAAATACTATTACAAAATAGCATAACATGTGTACAGTATAGCATTTTTAACTTCTTATGTTGACCGTTTTAGTGTTCAATGTACAATGTTTAGTTTGGTATATTGATTGTGTGTGAAGAGAATTACAGTAGAATTCTAGATGATAGGAAGGATAAGTCTGATAAGAAGGATTTAAAGAGATTGCTAATCCCCATCTTCAATTGAAACTATTTTGTTTATTTATCTTTCCATTACAGCTACTGATAATGGCTGCATAGCATACGTATTGAGAACTGGCTTTAATACCTCACAAGTAAGTCAAACAATGTTGTATGTGAACAGAATATGTGTGAGTGTGGGGGGGTTCAGCAATAGAAATTCCTAAGTAATTACATGATGGGCATATGACATGGGTATGATTAAACATTCTTTTCGGTTTTGATATTTGGGATTAGAAATAGAATAATCGTTAAAAGAAAGGAAATGTTTATTCAAAGCTGGTAACTTTTCTATTGGGAGTATGAACCATATGAGGAGGCAGGATGGGTCGGTGGTAGAGCAGTGGTCTTGTCACCGAGAGTTCCCGGGATTGAAACGAAGTCAATGTCCTTGTGCTATTTGGTAAGGCATTAATCCTCGTTACCAAGTCCCTCTGAGAGGACTTTGAGCATTCAGGTAAAACAATCGTCAATCATAAATCATATAGGTTTGAGAGACGTTTGGGGATTTTATTTACATCTACAATAGTCTTAAGTTCTACAAGGAATGCTCAGGTTCATGTAGTTGAACTGTAGATGACAATAATTATAATCACTTTTATTGCCCTTGCCAGAACCCCACACAGAAGCTGCATTTACACTGCAAGCAAAACTCATCAATTTTTCTTACATTGTGGTTATTCATTGCTAAGCAACTGCAGGTAAACACAACGAAAAACCCAAATCAGAAAACCCAATTCTGGAAGGTGGTTTATTGAAGTAGTGTAAATGACAGTCCAAAAGAAGAAGAAAAATGTTTTTTCAAAATGGTCTTTGTGCTGTGTAAATGGGCCTCATCTATTATTATGATTATTATTATTATTATTATTATTATTATTATTATTATTGTTATTATTATCATCATTATATTACAATTAAGGTATTTAATTTCAAGTATTATTAATTTTTCTCCAAGGGCAAATTGCTGAGCACCATCCTGTATGGAGTGAAGCGGGTGACGGCCAACAATCTAGAAACATTCCTCTTCATCCTCTTCCTTCTCATCTTTGCCATTGCTGCTGCTTCTTACGTCTGGATAGAAGGTGAGAAAATAGTCCTATAACCCCAACTTAAAGCCCCACTGTACTACTTGTAACTACTTGCTCCCTCTATATAGAAAACAAATGCCTAAGCAGTGCCTGTTGGTCCCCCGTGGTCCCCTTTTTCTTATGTTAAGATAACCACTTGCCAGTGACCTTGATGGATGGTTTAATCCCTCCTGGCCAAACTTGGGCAGATAGGCTTTAATAGACTCAAGATGGGGCCTTTTCAATTTGTGATTCAGTACACATTCAGAAGGTTCAATTAAAATCAATAGGAATATAAGAAATAGAGCAAAACCTGTATACACGTGTAAGGACTGCTCAAGGGAGACAAGAAAAATGGTCATTAAGTACATGTTTCTTTGGTGCATGTTCAGTGAAAAACCATTTTCTAAAGGAAACACAAAAAATGGCCACCGTAGACAGGTTGCCTTTCTAGACAGGTTCTTCAATACACATTTCCTACTAGACATAGAGAGACAATTTAAGTATCCACTATAGACAGATGGCCTTTATTATAGAGAGGCGGCCACTAAGGCAGGTTTGACTGTAATTGATTCTGATTGACTCAGATTTTGTTTCGGGTTGTCCGTACGTCCGTCCGTACGTCCCGTTCTCGTGATCGCGTTATCTCAAGAATTAATTGTTGGATTCCTGCCAAATTTAGGTCATGTATGTATCTTGCAGAGTTGATGAATTGATTAGATTTTGGGGTCGTGAGGTCAAAGTGCTCATTTTGTTAACTTATTTCTTCTTCTTCCTCGTCCCTCTGTCTCCATCCGTTCATCCTGCAGGCACCAAGGATCCAGATCGTAACAAGTACAAGCTCTTCCTGGAGTGCACCCTGATCCTCACCTCCGTCGTACCCCCAGAGCTCCCCATCGAGCTCTCCCTGGCTGTCAACTCATCGCTTTTGGCACTCACAAGACTAGGTAAATTCCTTTAAGGCCCCACTGTACTACTTATAGCTACTTATACAGCTATATAACTATAAAGCTATATAGCTATATAGCTACGAACGAACAAGCTACTTATACAGTAGGCTTACGGGTGCACCATGTGAGAGAGAGGGAGGATTGAGGAGTCCTGAAAAGGACTCTCGGTAATCTTTCTTGAGGGTGTGTAGTCCTGAAAAGGACTGTTGGTGTAGTCTTGAAAAAGACTGTTGGTTATCTTTCTTAGCTTATAGTTCTAAGGAGAACTATAGCGCTTGGAGAGGATGAGTGGTGGGAGTTACTTGCGCCCTCTATACAGCCAGCAATGCCTAAGCGGTGACCGTTGGTCCCCCATTGTCTCCCTTTTTTTACGTTAATTGAGAGCTGATTTGATGAGGTAACCACCTGCCAGTGACCTTGTAGGGTGGTTTAATCCCTCCTGGCCAAACTAATGCAGAGGGGCTTTAAAGGAACACTTTTCCAAGTCATCAAGTTTGTTTTTAATCATTAAAAAACGGGTTTTCAATTGTTTTGTGCAAAAAATCATCAATGCTAAAAGAGAAATATAAAATCCTTCTTGTCTAGAGTTGTGTACTGTATTCATATATAAGGACCGTGTTTTTCTTGTTATAACTTTAAACGTCATCTCCTTTCTGCCTCTTAAACAGGTGTGTACTGCACAGAGCCGTTCCGTATCCCGTTTGCAGGCAAGGTCGATATCTGTTGCTTTGACAAGACTGGAACACTGACCAGTGATAACCTGGTGGTAGAGGGCGTTGCGGGTCTCCCGTAAGTATTTCGATCTTCTCTCTGTTGATCAATTATTTTTTCTTCAGACATTAGATATTATAGCTTTTCTACTAATAGAATGCATATTATTCTTCTTTTTGTTAATTAGTTTGCCTTCCGTTAGAAATGCCACTATTATGCATAAAAAAATACCCTTTTGTATCAAAATAAGGGTAGTTATTTTCTGCTTATGGATTTTCAGTAGGGTGTCTCTTGCAATATGTTGGTTTATATTTAACATAGTTGATTTAGCTTTTCTTCGGGGAAAGAGCATTCTGTGAAAATTTAAAAGATGGATGCTAGATGTTCTCACTACTCTGTCTGACATTTTGCTTTCTTATCTATTCAATATGAAATCTGTCTGTTTGATATTGGTGGGTTTGAAATATATACAAAACATATGGAGTGTAGATGCGATGTTTTGGCGCCGTGGGGTTTTTATTCTCCAAGTATTACTCCAGTGTATACTTGGAGAATAAAAACCCCACTGCACCAAAAACAGAAATCTTTAATAAAGATTTCTGTTTTAATCAATAAACATGGTACAAGATGATGCCTTGCGGTTCGTTCAGATCTGGCATGTTTAAAACCGATGCAACCAAAAAAATGTGACAGTTTTTGCTAACATGTAAAAGAATTGCACTATGCACAAGAAAGTTCCTACGTGTATTCACTGAGCTCTCTGTTATAAGATACAAAATGTGAATTGTATAACACATTACGTCATTACAAACAAACAAAAAACGCCACATTTTTGCTACTTCATATCTGAACGGAGCTTTACAGGTACCTCTAGATTTTTATGTACAGTCGAGCCTGTCAATAGCAACCGCCCAAGGGAAACACAAAAAGTGGTCTTTGTAGACAGGTTCTTTTAGTACATGTTTCAATGAGAAACCATTATCAAGGGAAACAAAAAAAGGTGGTCTATGTAGACAGGTGGTCTTTTTAGACAGGTGGTCACTAAAGCAGGTTTGACTGTATAAGTTAAACCTAACACTATTATTATTTACCTTTTTCCTACCTGACAGGGGTAAAGAGAAGCTATGTTCCATCACCGACGTTCCCCTGGACACTGCCCAGGTGCTTGCTACCTGTCACTCTCTGGCCAAGCTGGACGACACCCTGGTGGGCGATCCACTGGAGAAGGCCACACTGACCGCTGTGGACTGGACACTGACCAAAGGTAAGACTCTGATGAAATGTACCAATCACTTGAAAATGCAATTTGTGTATAGGTATAGGATAAATTACTAGACCTGGGAGTGTTTCACAAAGACTAAGATCAACTCTAATTTGTACTTAACTATGGCAGGACATTCATGCCACTGATTGCCCTCATCATTGGTCTCTCAAGGAACGTCACAAATCTACAGAATTCACATTTTTATTTATATTGACATTTTTTTAATCTAAAGATCATAATTTCTAAGGTTTTTTCCCACTAATTTTACATCTGGTTCAAGATTTTTTAAGGGCCTGCCAAAGCTCAAGTCCAACTTAAGTTGATCTTAGTCTTTGTGAAACACCCACATGGCATTCTATAGGTAACTTGTCTGTTTTTAAATCTAAGAAATTTGATAGAAATTTGCGTTTGAACCCTTCTTCCAAGTACACATCTTATCAGTGGTTGATGGTAATACATAATCATACTCTGAGGGTATGTTTAAGATAAATAAGAACTACCACTTTGTGATATAGGTTACAAGGTTTCTTTGAGCTTAGCCATCTTTTATTATACCCGAAAGTCATATCATCCGCTGTCCGCAAGAAGAAAGTTTGTGCCGTTGTTATACAGTCAAACGTGTCTAAGGTGACCGCCAAAGGAATACACAAAAAGTAGTCTTCGTAGACAGATGGTCTTTGTAGAGAGGTTCCTTTAGTACATGTTTCAATGAGAAACCATTTTCAAGGGAAACAAAAAATGTGGTTGTTTTAGACAGGTGGTCGCTAAAGCAGGTTTGACTGTACTTCTCATTACAGTAACTCCTTCTTATAACTTCTCTCTGTAGGTGACGTCGTGATCCCCAATCGCATCCAGAGTCGGCCGCTGAAGATTGTCCAGCGGTTTCACTTCTCTAGTGCCCTCAAGAGGATGGCGGTCATCGCGTCCCTCCAGACCCCCGACTGGGAAGGCTCGGTGGACTGCACCTATCTGGCCTCGGTCAAGGGGGCACCAGAGACCCTTCGAGCCATGGTAAGGGAACGGTGGAAGGACTTATCTGACCCCTGGGGGGTGTTTCACATAGATCCTAAGTCAAACTTAACTATAATTTGGACTTAACAATTATGGAAAGCTATGTAAAGTTATTTTTAAAGGCATAAAACGTTGATTCAAATCATTCATATTTTCTTTTATCAAGGAGATTTCATGTTCTTGATGTGGAATTTATGAAAAGTCTAAAGTACTTTTTGCTTCTGAATATATCTTATTTTAAGGCTACAAATGGCCCTCCATAATGTTTAAGTCTAACTTAGAGTTAAGTTCGACTTAGGAAGTTTGTGAAACACCCCCCCTGGTTTATGATGTGAATGTGAATACTATGGACATGTTTTACTGCAATATTTGTATAAGAGTAGGGGGAAACCCCGGGGTGTAGTGGTCCACCTGTACAGCCCCAATCAGTTATACCGAAAGGAGAGACCCGAGGGTTACAGTGATTCAGTTCACTTTCACCCTCCAGGCACAGGTGACGCCAAGTACTTAATGATTATAATAATAAATCTGCACATTACAGGCTTCATGGTATCAGAAGTTACCTCAGCTTTAGCAGAGGAGGCATATCAGGTGCTCTGTGCATTTAAGTTATATTGTCTGCTCAGAGCCTGAAGGGCATTCAATCTATTTCTGAAAGGAAACGAGCCAACCCCCTTCAGGATCTCAGCAGATGATGACACCATGATCACATTCCCATGAGTTCTTATCAAGATTGATTCCTTTTAGTAGACATGAAAAGTATAAAATACTTTCTTATTATAGTGAATTAGAAGGATCTAGAAGAAGAGGACAAGGAAAAGATACAGTGAAGTTTATATATAAAGTCAAAGACCTTACTGGATTATCCCTCACTCATCTGTTGAGGTCACAGGATGTCATTCATGACAGGACCAACCAAACCAATACCTATATTAAATTAATTTATCATAAACACTGTCAAAGGAATTTTATGTATAATTCAATCATGTTACATGGTAATGACCATGTTTAAAAACCTCGTGTGTTAACCCTATACCTCAATGATATACATTTTTTCTTGATCACACTTTCCAGTTCACCGTTGTGCCTGATAACTATGACGAGGTTCACTCTCAGATGTCCAGACAAGGTGCCAGGGTTCTTGCCCTAGGACACAGGAAGCTAGGACACATGACTTCACAACAGGTGAGGCCTTAGAACCTGGATGAAGTCGCTCTTCTCGTTGCAGCTGTCATCGCCACATTGCCCCTGAATTTCAGACATGAAACCCCTTTTATGCTTGTGTGATTATCTTTATGTCTGTTAGTGGAATTGCTCTTAGCAAGAAACTGTCCTTTTAATGTAACTGTCATTGTTGTAATGCCCTGTGGCTGCAAACCTGAATTTCTAAACTGAGGCCATCCCATTAGGATCGACCCAAACAAACAATTCCGTTCTGACCAGAAAAGATGAATAGACCTAAAATACATATGCTTATGTATTCTATATACATGTAATTTAATAACCATGTCCTAATATGATTAGTAACAAATGTTTTTGACAGATTTCAGCCCTAAACGCACAAATCTAGTTTTCAATAGGTGGAATTGTGACTCACTCACTTTGCATTCTGTACAGTATGCTAGAAATCAGTGGCCCAGTTCGGTGTACCCAGTTGTAAACTTAAAATATCATATAATCTTTTCCAACTTCTTTTCTTTCTGTCCATAGCTGCGTGACTTGTCTCGTGATGACGTCGAGAAAGACCTCAGTTTCGTTGGTTTTGTCATCATTTCCTGTCCTCTGAAGTTTGATTCGAAAGCAGCCATCAAAGAGATCCAGCATGCATCTCACTATGTAAGCATTAAAGGGATCCGGTAACTTTGTATTAGATCCTAAAACAAAATCCTGGATTTAGCTCATGCTACAATCATTATAAACCTTTAGGTCAGTCAGGAATCCCATGACTTTTACAAACCGATTGCCTGTCTTTTAAGATTGGAAATCGAAATAAAATTTTTCGTTTTCATTTTAGATTTAACATTGTTAAACGATGCCTTTAATCATTGGTAATCTTTATTCTTTTAACATGTTTGGTACCGCACCTTTTTTATTTGGCACATTATCCAAAGGGCCAATCCAGAGTTAACTCAGGCATACTATTTGCTGGGTCAAAGATGATATGTAGAAAATTAAAAAGTCTTATCCTGTGGTTGAATTGTGTCTAAATGTCTTTTAGCCCATTGAATGCTACTCCCTAAGAAAACTTGGGATGGAGTCAAGGAAAAGTCAGTGCTAAACCGATATTAAAACGCCTCCAACAGGTTGAAATTGTGACAGATCCCTAAGAAAGTTTAAGTTAATATTATCATCGTAAAAAGTATATAACTTTCTTCCTCTGATATTTTTTTTAAAATCACAATCTGTTTGGCAGATACATGTTCTTTGTCGAAAACATGGTGGTATTTGCTATTTTTATCGGCATTTATGTTTGTTTAGGAAATTTTGTTAGTCGTAACATTTCGGATTGGTTTTGCTTTATGCCAGTACCTCCACAGTATGGAATAATTCCTGTTATATTCCTTTCTTGTGAAACACCAACAAAAAACCTTGATTACCGAAGACAACCCTTTCAAGTAATGCTCTTAATAAAAAACACAGGGTGGTATTTGCTTTAAATATGTTTTTTCAGGAAATCTTGTCAGTCATAATATTTTGGATTGGTTTTAGCTTCATGCCAGTACCTCCATAACATGGACTAATCCTGTTAAATTCCTTTCTTGTGGAACACCAACAGACAACCATGATTACCGGTGACAACCCTCTGACTGCCTGTCATGTCGCCAAGGAACTTCACTTCACCAAGAAACCACACACCCTCATCCTCAAGCCACCTGTTGAAAATGGTAAGTGTTCAAAGTTTCAGCTGCCCTGGTGGATATCATGTAATTCATCTATCTTTCCCTTTCATGATTTCACTACGTGTATTACTGTAATCGCAGAAATATTAACGGTACATTAATTTTTCGCTGATTTCGTGCTGAATTGCGTGCAGCGCGAATTTAAGAACCTGCGATTATGTTTTGCGGTCGCTCAGTGTGAAAAATTAATCACCCGAAAATAACATTGTTTACAGTATTGTTATTGTATGTAATGTACATTTTAGGGTTATGTCATTTTAAGTTGAAGGGGATGGTCTTCAGTTTTCATGCGCAGAAGGCCATGATTTGCTTACACCAGACTTGGTGGAAAAACCATTAATGGTTGTACAAGTTTCGGCACTCAGCAAACCGGTGGTCCCATCAAGAAATCCCCCCCCCCCCCCCCGTAGTCTCTTGGAGAGTCTTCAGGTACGGGCAATGTAGGATAATGACTTTACTATATTCGGGGATGGGTGAAAAATGCAGAGTATTACATAAGGTCTGTTGGTCATAAAAATGAAAGCTGATCCTGGTGATTGACAACACCTGCTATTGGGGTTAACACCCAAATGTTGTTGAATTTTTGACCAATGAGTGATTCACACAAATTGCAAAAATAAAACCCAACGAAAAATACTGTTTATACAGTAAAAGAAACTTAGTCCAATTCTCCATTTTTGAACTTTATCCATTTGCCATTGAGAAAGCTTTCATAGAATATAAAGTCAGTTTCGAAATAAGAGATCCATGTATACATGTATTTATGCATGCCTTCTCTGATGATTTATTTTCACCTTTCTTCAGAATCTGATGAATGGCATTGGCAGTCTATCGACGACACCGTGACGTATCCCATGATCCCCTCTCGGGAGGAAGAGCGCCTCCTATTGGCCAAAGATCTCTGTCTCACCGGAGAGGTAGGATTGTTTCACTATCTTTAACGACGACAAATATTTTTTGTTGATGACACCTCTAAACAATCTTTCTAGAAAGTCTTCCTTGCAGTATCATTATCATCTTCCAATTTCTATCAAGGTTGTAATTTTATTAGATGAAAAGATAAAAGTACTGTTGTTTTTTTTTAGAGAGTGTATGGGAAATAAAGGTTATTAGTAATTGATCTTGGTGACCACATGTTATAAACAATTGTTTACTTCCCTTCACACTTTATATCAAGGTACGTATAGTTTTAATTCTGATGCAAGTATTATCTGTACATATTTGTATTTGCATTATCCATATTTGTCACTTGGTTAATTTCTTCTTTAGCGCATTTCAGTCCCAATGAAATTTACAATCAATGGTAACACTAATCAAAAAGATAAGTTTGGAACAATTTTTTTGAAGACTTCTATGTCTGGGAGAGCTTTCCAAAGTTTTGGGCCTTCACATGCCAGTGCTCTGTCGCCATAGGACTTTAATAGTTGCTCAGGGATTGATGGTAAGAAGGTGTTGTGAAGATTATCGTAGACATGTTGATGGGACGTAAGGTATAGACAGTTCTGAGATTGTGGACAGAATAGGAGTCTGTACCTTGATAGGATTCTGTTTCATATTGGTTGTGCTATGCACAAATAATTTCTGCTGGATCTCGAGACAGACGAAGCATGGTCAAAGCTTGTGTGAGGTCGTGATATATTACCAGAATGTACATTACAAACACAAAATATTTTTGTTATTAATTATGGTGGTATATATTTCTTCTCTCTCTTTCGTTTCAGGCCATCACCCATCTCCAAACCACCAATTTACCTTTTCTGAACAGAATCTTACCCAAAGTAAAAGTGTTCGCTCGAGTAGCACCAAAACAAAAGGTGAGGTTTACCTATTTTAATTGTGCTGTGAATCCCTAAATGGATTTATTTCATCAAAATTGATTGAATCTACTTTTTTTATCGTGAATTTAGAAAACATACATCTCTATATTTATATTTCAATTCTCAAATCCGTGATTATTCTCATCAAGTTTTGATAGAATCATTGAAAATGTGTGGCTGTTTTTATGAAATACCATAACACTGTTTTCCAAGTCAAAATGTGAAATTGCTCCAACTTCTGTTGTTTAAAATTGCAGTACATAAAAGTGTTTCTGTTTTCTGTATATACTTTCATTCTGTTCGATTGTCCATGTTCGCCATGGCTTTGTTGTTTGAGTTCATGAGAATGCATAGCTGCCAACCATTTCTATTTTAGAGGACTGATTTCTACTTTTTGGCCCTCAAACTAATGTTATGGATCCTAGATTCCTTTCTTTTTCTGAAAACTTCTGTGTGAAGAGTATACAAAATGACTGTATTCCTAATTTTACCTTGAGGGATTCCTAATTTTAAATTTGAAAGGTTGGCAGGTATGAGAATGAGCATTATCAGTTGCCATAGTTTTGTGTATCTTTTATTTATTACATTTAATGAGTCGGCCTTCCTAACACACTGAAGCCTGTAGATCAGTAAATAATTTCAAGGCCAGTCTGAAACTTTCTAATGGCCAACTTTAACTATTATCATCTTTTTTTACCATGCATAATGTAATGAAAGCATAATTATTTCTAAGTATAGTTTATATGTAGCTCATTGTAAGCACCTCGAGTACCCTCTCTGTGGATATGTTGTGCATTATAAATGTCTTTATCATTATTATTATTATGATTTTTATTGTTAATTTTTTTTTTTTACAGGAGTATGTGATTACCACATTGAAAAGTCTTGGATATACGACTCTTATGTGCGGAGACGGTACCAATGACGTGGGAGCTCTAAAGCATGCACATGTTGGTGAGTTTGATCAAGTTAATGACATAAAGGCATACAAATCCAACAGCCTTTTTCCTGTTTAAATACAGAAAACTTGAAATCATTAGACCCTTGCAATTCTAAACGGGCATTAGCTGGTATATAGTATTAAAGCTGTACCTACATGTTCATACATTTACGTAGTAATCACTGTGGACTTTTGGCATGACATTCTGAATTAAAACTAATCTGGAGCTATGGTATGGGAGTCATATTTTTAGAGAAAATTGCTATGATTTATTCTGGATTGTTTATCCTTCAGTAGATTGGTTGTTCAAACCAGTGAAATAAAAACAAACGCACAAAACTTGCTTGGCATCATCTTCGATAAAAACCACAACTCCCACTTGCACATAGTGACCTGCGTTAAGCACATGGTGTCGGGCCTATTACCCGGATTTCCTTATCTTTCTATGCTTATTACTCAGCCATTATACATTTTATACCGAAATTGTTTGGCACATGTCATTTATTGTAATCTTGAACATTCAGTGTAAGTTTTGTTAGATTCTGTGAGAATTTGTTTTCTATATTTACCAGAACTCAAGTTTATGCTCTAAGTTGAACTGAAACAGAATCGTCATTTATCATATCAGGCACTCAAAACTTTTTTCTCTATCCTTTTCTTTATTTCAGGTGTTGCTCTTCTTTCAAATGTTCCTGAGAGGTTTTTACGAGATAAGAAAAGGCCCAAAGAAGAGGTAAAGGAATTAAAGAATGATGAAAATGAATTTGAAGAAACCACTATCAATTGCCAATTGATATACGGTTAATGAATATGGTTAGGAGAATGACCTTTGCAGTCAGTACATGGATTCAAATCCAAGCCCTATGTTAAAGTTTTTCTTACTGAATCTTAAACCTCTATTTTCTGCAGTAAATTTACAAAGATTGATGTAAGAAATGAACCAATTGCAACGCCATCGAACCAGATTATTCATTTCTTCAATACTGCAAATTTAGTGTCTTTGTAGCATATTTATGTATTAAACTAATACATAAAGCTCATCCTTGATAACATTTACATGAGCAGTATTACAGTGAATTTCATCAGTAGCCACATTGATTATCACAATCTAAAGGTACATTGGGAATAACCTTATTACACCAAAAGATAGAAGACACATTGTGTTGTTATTAGTGGCATTGAGTTCCTTAACGAAAGCCAAAATGTCCTGTGTACTACGCAATGGCTCAGTGGTAGGGCAGTGGTCTCATAACCTGGAGGTTCCGGGTTCAAAACCAAGTCGAAACGCTAGTGCCGTTTGATAAGGCATTAATTCTCATAACCAAGTCCCTCATAGAGGACTTAAAGCCGTCGGTCCTCTGGTTGTTTATTTACAAGCATAAGCATATACATGCTTTCTTTGATAGCAGGCGGGTAACAAATCAAAATTAACATCATCAAACATTGGTTAGGAATATGGAGAGTGATAACAAAGCCAAGACATGTGGCAAAATTCTGCCTAAATATTCTTCTTTTTTTTTCTTTTTTGAACCTCAGACAGCAGAGACCAGTGGGGAGAACAAACAACTCAAGAATTCTTCTGGCCCAGAGAGGATACCCTCCGCCTCCCATCACAGCGGGGGCCGGCATGGGGGCGGAGGGGGGCGAGCAGCCAGGCAGAGGGCCTTCGCTAAGGGAGAAGACCTCACTAGGGTACGTATGTACTGATTGGCTGTTGATAGTCGCCCTGATTAAGCCATCGACTACCAAATTGTCATATTCTCCATAGGTTTAATACAGGTACCACCCGCTTCCAGGGGGCAATGGGTTTGCTCTTTTTATACAATACAAATCATCTCCCTGTGCAATATTGTATTAGTTCATTCGTGTCTCCTTAGATCTAGATTAATGTCAAGTTCCTAAATTAAATTGAATTAAATTAAGTTCTTCCGTCGCCTGATGGCTGCAATGGCTGTCTCATTTACAAGGGCCAGGTCTTCGTCTGTGCAACCCGTTCCGCTGCACTGCAAGATGTGGTCCATCATCTGATATTGTAGTTATCATGGGATAGATATCCCAAAGGCTTCAAGATTGTTTAACGATTCCTAGTGCAAAATCAGTCTATACCGGTGTTAAAATGGTTGTCATGAAGGCAATCACAACAACCATATTTTATTTATCATGGAGTAGATATATCAAAGGCTTCAAGGTTGTTTACCGTTCCCAGTGCAAGATGAATCTATACGGGTGTGAAAAAAGGGTTGTGATGAACGTAATCATGACCCTTAGCGATATTGTATTTATCGTGGGATAATTCTAAAGGTTTCAAGATTATTTAACTGTTCCTAGTGTAAAATTAATCTATACCAGTGTTAAAAGGGTTGTCATGGAGCTAATCACGACCGGAAATCAGTATTTTTGAAAAGCCATGTTGTTTATACACAGAGCAATACTTCCATCAATCGATGTTTAATGTTTTGTGCAAGATTAGAGATTGTAAGTTTGGGATTGACAGGAAGAGCAATTTTTAATTTGGATCCATCAAATCTCTTGAATGTCAGATACAGTCAAACCTGCTTTAATGACCACCTGTCTACAAAGACCACCTGTCTACAAAAAGCACATTTTTTGTTTCCCTTGAAAAATGGTATCTCATTGAAACATGTACTAAAGGAACCTGTCTACAAAGACCACCTGTCTACAACAAGCACATGTTTTGTTTCCCTTGGGCAGTCGCTGTAGACAGGTTTGACTGTACAACGATTTATTAACCAGAAAATCTTTCTTTTACCTTCAACAGAAAAAGTTGAATACCATGATGAAGGAGATAGAGGAGCAGGATCAAGCTCAAGTAGTCAAGTTAGGAGATGCAAGTATAGCATCGCCTTTCACCTCTAAGCTATCATCAGTGCAATGTGGTGAGTTCCTTTTTATGCCTCCGTTACGAAGTAGCCGGAGGCATTATGTTTTCGGGTTGTCCGTCCGTCCGTACGTCCCGTTCTCGTGATCGCGTTATCTGAAGAACCGATTGATGGATTCCTGCCAAACTTTGGTCATGTATGTATCTTGCAGAGCCGATGAACTGATTAGATTTTGGGGTCACGAGGTCACAGGTCAAAGGTCACAGGGCTCATTATGTATGCAAAAACAGCTCGTGATCGCGTTATCTGAAGAACCGATTGATGGATTCCTGCCAAACTTAGGTCATGTATGTATCTTGCAGAGACAATGAACTGATTAGATTTTGGGGTCACGAGGTCAAAGGTCAAATGTCACAGGGCTCATTATGTATGCTGAAACAGCTCGTGATCGCGTTATCTCAAGAACCGATTGATGGATTCCTGCCAAACTTAGGTCATGTATGTTACTTGCAGAGCCGATGAACTGATTAAATTTTGGGTCATGAGGTCAAGGTCAAAGGTCATGCGGCTCATTATGCATGCAAAAATAGCTTGTGATCGCATCATCATTAGAACAGATTGATGGATTCCTCCCAAACTTAGATCATGTATGTATCTTGCAGAGCCAATGAACTAAGTAGATTCTTGGGTCATGAGGTCAAAGGTCAAAGGTCATGGGCTCATTATGTATGCAAAAATAGCTTGTGAACGCATTCTCATTAGAACTGAGAGATGGATTACTATTTAACTCGGGACATCTTGCAGAGCCAATGAACTGAGTAGATGTTAGGGTCATGTGGTCAAAGATCAAAGGGTCATATATGTATATGAGAAATTGCTTGTAATCACGATATTCTGAGAACCTGTTAATGGATTACAATTGAACTTGAATTTGAACAATTTCTTCTGTTTTGGTTTGTAAAATTGCTCTATGACGGAGGCATCATTTCGACTGCGTGCAGTCGAAGTTCCATCTAGTTATATTAGCTCTCATATTCGTGTTGATCATGAGTCCAGAGACCCCTCAGAAATATGATTTTTCATGTTAAACTTTATCTAAAACTGTTATGTGTGCTATTCTGAACACAGTTATCTCTCTTAAATGTTTTACTTTCAAGATAAAGTCAGTTTGTATTTCTAAAACATGTTTGATCTTCGATCTATTTTTTTATTTTTTTAAAATCAATCTCTATACCTTGTCTGTGCTTGTACAGTTTGACGAATGATCCATTCAGCCATAATGCTGACGTTCTGATTATCTTCTCGATAATGAGAAATAAGCTTTCAAACTAGGGTAAAAGCTAGCCGTACATATATTTTATCTGTGGAAAAGCAGGATGGGCAGGATTTGTTATGACAAGTACATGATGTCTGTTGTTAGTCTTAAGAAGGGGAGAAATAAAAGCAGACCGAGTCTTAATATAATTTTTCTCATCTGTCTGATGTTATGTAGAGGTGTTGTGGACTAGTGGATAAGTCACCCAAGTGCAGATCACAAGCTACGGGGTTCAAGTCCCACTGCGGCACTAATGTCCTTTGGCAAGACGTTAATCTACATTTGCCACTCTCCACCCAGGCGTAAATGGGTACCTGATATGCTTTAGCGCTGGTTACTTTGGCAGCTCGGCTACATGAGCGTCAGAGTCTGGCAGATACCGGTGCTATATAAATAACCATATTATTATTTATTTCATGTTGGCTATTGCAATGAAAGAAGACTGAGTTCCTTTCTCCATATCTCCACAGTATGTCACATCATTAAGCAAGGCCGCTGTACATTGGTCACCACTCTTCAAATGTTCAAGATTCTAGCGCTCAACGCCCTCATCCTAGCGTACAGTCAGAGCGTCCTCTATCTGGACGGCATCAAGTTCAGCGACGCCCAGGCCACGCTGCAAGGCCTCCTATTGGCCGGTTGTTTCCTCTTTATATCTAGGTCAAAGGTCAGTTGTGATATTGATAAATGATGGTGATATTGATAATGAAAATAACTTTTATATATTACCTTTCTACTTTCAAGTAACTCAAGTAGCTTTAATAGTGAAATGTAGTAGCACAAAAATGTAAAATACATATTTATTGAGTGACATTTGTCAATTGTAAGTCTTTTTTTGACATACGAAAATGAAAGTGAGCTAACATTGAGCCTCATCGATTTATGAATTTCCCAGCTCCATATCCCACTGTTGTGGTTCTACCTCTATAATAATTATGATTTTTAACAATTATGCATTTGGCATTTTGGAGGCATCTTTTCGTGTTACTACATTTTGCTAAGCTAATCAAAGCACTTTGCATCATCATTTGTCAGTCTTTTATGTGTAGAAATGTGTAAGTGCCAATTTTAAGTGGCATTTTCTAATAAACTGCCCCAATTTTGTTGGACTAATTGATCATGTAGTGAAGAAGAATAAACAAATTATAAACATGACCACTCAATTTTGCTGAGAGACGACAACACTGATATGCATGTATGGGACAAGGTGTCGTGGTATAGTGATTCATTTCACTTGGCTCTCAATCCAAGGTTTTGATCTTGAGGATTCAAATCTCAGCCATGCTAATGAATTAAAGCTTGTGTCAATGTACGTCTGTATTATTATTTTTTGGGAATATTTTGTAAAATGTAATTAAAAAAAACAGAAGATAATAAATGTTACTCTGACAGGACAGAATGGATTCTCAATCATATGTTAACCGTTTTCTGTTTTTCTCTCCTGTGATGGTGATAGCCATTGAAGGTATTATCTAGGAGTCGTCCTCTACCAAACATCTTCAATGTGTATACTGTCCTGACGGTCATTTCTCAGTTTGCTGTCCATTTTATGGTCATGATGTACCTCGTACGGGAAGCAAAAGAAAGGTCGCCTCCCAGGTCAGTAATTAAAACTGATGATAAAAATTCAGGGCGTAATTAGTTTTCAAAATTTGAGCAGGATGAGGTTCTCACAACTCCCGTTTGGACAACTTTTAATCTTGGACATGAAAGACGCATAGTGGTGGGTTTGAATTGGGAATTTGACGCCATTCTGGTGTTTACGCACGAACAGGTGTTGTCAGTCACCAAGACTTCACTTTTACAACATGCTGGTCTTTTGTAATACACTGTCCCCTAGCCTTATACCGTATAGAAATTTCATCATATATATCAAATTTCCCTGGCCCTCGAGATATAGGCAAGTTGTAGTATTTTGGGGTAGAACCACGGGTTCGCTGCTTCAGAGACCTTCGCACACACAGACATGTTAATTGGTAATTCAACCAAATCCAGTGTCAGCGAATTATGATGCAATACACATGAACACTGACTACTTTATGGCTTTAACTCTGTGGAATGAGCAAAATCATCTTTGATGAAGGATGTTTGAAACACTGCAATGAGGAGTTTTTGGACAGTTGTTGTCCTAGCAGGTATTTGCCTAAGGGGCATCTCTCATAGCGTTACATGCAGTTGTTGTACTTATAGGGGGTTAGTACTTTAGAATGGTTGTCCTAGGGGGTAAACTTGTCTCTTGGGGCTAGCTCTTTGTTGGATGATTGTCCTTGGTAGAGGAGGGGGAGGGGCCAGCAGGTCCTGGTTATTGATTGATTTGATTTCCATTCTAAATGTTTTGCAGGGAGTCAGAGTTTCCCGATCTAGAGAAGAAGTTTGAACCCAACCTGGTCAACAGCACAGTCTATATACTCTCTATGATGCTACAGATAAGCACATTTGCTGTCAACTACAAGGTAAGCTTACTACTTCTACTACAATCTCAGAGTCATCTCTCTTCCCTCTGTCTAGCTGTCTATCTCTCTTTCTCCCGCATCCCTGCATGTCTGTCTCTCTCTCTCTCTCTCTCCCTCCCCCCTCTCTCTCTCTCTCTCTCTCTCTCTCTCTCTCTATCTCTCTCCTATGTCTTTAAATGTATATCTTATACAGTAGGCTTACAGTTGCACCATGTGAGAGAGACGGGGAAGGATTAGGGAGTCCTGAAAATGTCTGTCGGTAATCTTTCTTTCTTGAGTGTGTGTGTAGTCCTGAAAAGGACTGTTGGAATTCTTGAAAAAGACTGTTGGTAATCTTTCTTGAGCTTCTAGTTCTAGGGAAAACTATTGCGGCAGTTGGAGAGGGTGGGTAGTAGGAGTGGCTCGACGTTTCAAGCAGGTTGACTTACTGTCGTCAGGTCTCCCAAATGCTCCCCCCTCTCTCTCTCTCTCTCTCTCACATGGTGCAACCGTAAGCCTACTGTATATTTACATCACCATGCAAGCCGATACTTGTAAGCAACATCTAATGTATATCTTGTTTTCCAACCCCTAGGGTCATCCATTCATGGAGTCATTGAGGGACAACAAGCCACTCCTATACAGTCTAGCATTCTCTACCATATCCGTTTTCACCCTCATCTCTGGAGTCCTCCCAGACATCTCCGACCAGTTTGAAATTGTAGAATTCACGGCCGATGTAAGTTCATAGTTCAAAGTTCATTCTATACCCACTTATTTTGTTATTGGGTTCAAGTTGTTCAGAACCTCCTGCATAAATGTTGCATTTAAATCCACTTCGTAGAGGTGTTGTGGTCTAGTGGATAAGTGACTGGAATGTAGATCAGAAGGTATGGGGTTCAAATCCCAGCCCGGCACTAACGTCCTTTTGGCAAGACGTTAGTCTGCATTTGCCAATATCCACCCAGGTGTTAAATGTGTACCTAGTAGGATGCATACATTGATGTCATTTGCTTAGGATTGTGAGCGTCTGTAGAATGGCATCTGTAGAATGCCCCCCCCCCCTGGAGTGGAGAATGTGCATACATTGTGTGCGAGCAAGCAGATGACAGGGGTAAAAAATATATCTGTAAAGCACTGTATTAAATGCTATTTTAATGCTGAATATTATTATTATCATCATTAACTCCAAAAATTCAATCACAAGTTCTAAATAAGGGATCCTGATTGTTTAAAAATATAGTTGGTTTAATGTTTTGAAAGCTGTGTTTATAAAATACTGCTCATTATTCAAGAGAGGTATGTTGTGGAACCACAAATATGATGAATAAACATTCCAGAATTACATTTCTGGAACAAGCAAAGAAATGGTATGAATGGATAAAGACTATGTCCAGCACTTTTAGAGAAAAAAAATCAATCAAACTTCTAAGTCCAGATTTCTCTTTCGGTTGTAGATGTGCAAGAAATATTCATGCAGAGCCCTACTTTAACACAAAATTTTTCTTCTCAATTCACTTACAATTAGATGCAGGATAAATTTTATTAGACAATTATAATTATCAAATGGTAAGAAATTTTATCTCAAGTAGTCTTCTGTAGAGATGATTGATTAATGGTCTGTTCATTTTCTTTGTAAATGACATCTCTAAAATAAGGTTTTAATACTTTTGTTTTCTCTTTCTTCTCCAGTACCGTTTGCTGGTGTTCCAGGTTCTAGTAGGAGACATGGTTTCTGCATTCGTCATTGACAGGACCCTCCAATTCCTTTTGGGAGCAGCAAAATTAAGAGGAGCACATTAGTCCTGCATAAAACTGTCATGTATTGTTATGGCTGGGACTACACGGAATGTAGGGCTTCAAATTTGTCACCGTGGATAGTGGTGATGTCGTGAAGCAATGCAAAGGATATTTTCATATGCAACAAGTGAATGTCGAAACTCAAAAACATTGTTTTGTTGTTGTTGATGTATGTAGCAAAGATATATTGATTTATTTGATTTGATAGACAATGACGATAGTGAAATGTTAGGGAAATACCTGGTAGTAATAGTTGTGTACTTGATAAATTCAACCATCATTTGATCACATTTTAAAATCAAGTACAGGGGACCTGTATATAAAGACCATTCACAGGAGAAAGGAAAAAGGACTTTATGACAAGGTGATCGTGTTATGTGCAGGTTTTTTAAAAGATATGTGGTCTTCCTTTGGTGGTCTTTGATACAGGTTTCAATGAGAATCTCTGCTGAGCGGAAACAAAATTGTGGTCTTTCTATACAGGTGATTGCTATAACAAGTTTGACCTTATGTCATTGCATTATCCACCCTCGGTAGATGAATTTGAGGAATCTAGATTCACTTTTTTTAGATATGCTCAACATGATGTTGTTCAATTTTAAAGTCAAGTTAATTTTCTAAATATCTGTGTTAGAAACATATTTATACTTTCTATAGGGAGCTTTATGTCTGCACGTCTGTGTTTGAATTCAATTGAATTGAACATCTTAAATTCATTCCTAAAAGGTAACTTTCAGTTTGGCAGAATATCTTGCTCAAAACTGATATAATAGCAAGGTCACTCTGCCGGTGTTGTTTTCAGCCCTGTATTGCACAATATAGTATTTGTCATCTATGAGTGATATTAGAATTTCAGACCCAAAAATGATTGATAATTTTCTCATGCATCAGTCTACATATTTATTTACCTTGCCTGTGGAAGACAATTTTAGAGACGAGGATATTATGAAACTATGATTAGGAAATAGTGAAAAATTGTGTAGTGAGAAATGATGTGTTAATCAGATTTGGGACAATTCAAGATTTAGAATCAGTTTGTCGGATTGAAGAGGTTTACATATTTAAAAGGAGAAAGAGAAAAGTTGGTGATGGTCACCAATTTTCATTAGGCCTTTAAATTCCTTAGAGTTTAATTAATTAGCTTTGATTTTTTTTCTGCTGTATTCATTCACAATTCAGGGTAGGCTGCATGTGATACATGCTAAGCAATGTCCAATAGACCAGTTTACTAACATATTCACATGTTATGCATACCGTTTAGGGAAAGGTTGTTCTTTACAACCGTAAGCTTACCAGAGCTTGCCCAACATAGCATCAAGTAATGTATACAGACTGGATTCTAAATATTGTAGTTCATTCAATCGGTAATAATTTCTTAATGGAAAACCTCTTCATTAGGTCCCCGGGAAAGAAAAATCTATAAATATGAATATGTTAGTAAACCAGTCTGGCTGGAATGCTCCCCAGGGAGTGGAGCTTGTGCACACAGTGTGTGCGGGCAAGCACTGAATCCAATTACTGGGGTAATAGTATATTTGTAAAGCGCTTAGAGACATTTGTATTAAGCGCTACATGTAAAAGCTAAATATTATTATTATCAAATGGAGATGTATCAACGTTTACAGCAAGAAGGATATTAAAGATAAACTTGAGTTCTGGTAAAAAAAAGAAAATGAATTCTCACAGAATCTAACAAAACTTACACTGAATGTTCAAGATTACAAATAAATGTCATGTGCCAAACAATTTTGGAAGAAAATGTATACTGGCGGAGTAATGAACATAGAAAGATACGGAAATCAGGGTAGTACTAGCCCCGACACCATGCGTGTTGTCCCATATACATCTTTCTGTGTAAGTGATTGTTACTTTACCAAGACTCTGCCAAATTTATGATGATTTTGATGACTCCAGAACCTTGCATTACACATCATTACTTACATGCTATATGATCAACTTTTCTGATCCATTCCACACCTTTTCTTTCACAATGCAATCGCATTACCAGAACTCAAGTTTATCTTTAACTCTGTGTAATGATATTACTTAATACCCTTCTGGCTCCAGACATACATGTACTTCTGATACTTGACAAGATACCTCTGGCCAGCTCCGTGTTTGTCCTGATCAGGGCTCCTGCTCTGTACATTATGTGCTAGGTGGCCAAAAATGGGTAACGGTACTTGCAATAAGGTTCATAAGATTCATATTTATTGTCCATTTCACAATGGAAGATTTGTGTTATTTACATGGTATATGAATACATTAAATAGACATATACATTCATGCAAAAAAAGACAAATTCAAGGAGATAATCTTGAGTTGACAGAAAACAAAATAAAAATTTCGATTTGGGTCCATTTTTAATTGAGTTTGGCTATTTTCACTTCTCTTCGGCAAATATGGGCTTGTTTTTATTCAAGCCGTGGGTGTTCCGTTTCCTGTTTGTGCAGACACGCTAGTAAAAGTAGATTATCCCATTTTTTAGGAGAGAAAAGGTAATTAAAAAAACACACAATTATTAAAAGGCATTTTAATAATAAGCATTCAAAGCATTCAAGAAATGCATATGTCTGGCTTTGTATTCTACGGGTTTATGTTATTTGTTGTCCAAGTTTATAGCTTTCTATGTCCCTCACAGTATTTCTCTATCTTTCCGTCTTTTTTTCTCTCCTTCTCTTTCAAATTTTGTAGATGTGATTGTTGAAAAGCATTAATTGCTTTGAAACATACGATATTGAATCATGCATTTTAATGTTGAATTCTAATCTTATTTGTAGTAAATCATTCCACATGCATGTATATAGAGTATTCTTAGATTTAGTCGTTATTTCTCGACAGGTTATTGCTTGTGTGTGATCAGTATTTTGGGCGAGACACTTTAATTGGTTGCCAATTTGTGATTGCCAATTTGAACACCACAAATTATAAAGCAGCATTTTAAATTCAAATTCAATCTGTATTATTGTTAGTGCTTAGATTTAAACGTCAGTTTGGCAATATGCTAGATTCTTGTCTAGTAATATTATGAATAATATATACTTGGAACATTTGCCAACTGAAATATTTCTGAACAAGTATGAATAGGATATAGAACAATTTGGTTGAATGGTTATTACTGTTACAGGCTCATGCACTAAAACTTATTAAACTTGACTGTTCTGATATTCTCACCGATATACTTGTATGTGCAGATTCATTAAACGTTGCTAATGCCAACAAAATTTGCATCCATTTGGTATCATTTTTATTTGTGCAGGTATCTGTTGTAACAAGTAGCATTTTGTTCTTCTTTTCTTTCACTCATGCTTTCTGTCTTCTCTCTCTCTCTCTTCATTTCTCTTCATATTTCTCTCTCACTCTTCAGCCATCAATTTTTGTATTTCTCTTTTATTTCTTTTTTTTCTCTTGACCTTGCATGTTTTGTATGTACATGCATTCTTCTTTCCCCTTTCTATATTCCCCCCTCTCTCTCTCTCTCTCCTTCTCCCTTTCTCTCATTCACCCTCTTACTCTTTCTCCTTCTCTCTATCTCTTTATTCCTCTCCCTCTCTACATGTATATCTCCTCCCTTTATCTAATTCTCCCCCTACTCTGTTCATAACGTTTTATATTCCCCTCTCTTTCTCTTCCTCCCCTTCTCTCTCTTCCTCTCCCTCTCTCTCATTCACCCTCTCCCTCTTTCTCCTTCTCTCCATCTCTTTATTCCTCTCCCTCTCTACATGTTTATCTCTTCCCCTTATCCAATTCTCCCCCTACTCTGTTCATAACTTGCCATATTCCTCCCCTTCTCTCTCTCCCTCTTCCTTTCTCTATTTCACTCCCTTACCCTTTCTCCATCTCTTTATTCCTCTCCCTCTCTACATGAACATCTCTTCCCCCTATCCAATTCTTCCTGTCAGGGGGTGTTTCACAAAGATCCTAAGTTGAACTTATCTCTAAGTTGGACTTAAATATTATGGAAAGCCATTAGCATCTTTGAAAATATTTTGTAAAAGTTATTTTGAAAGGCATAAAATGTTGATTCAAATCATTCATATTTTCTATCATTAAGGAGATTTCATATTCTTGTTGTGGAATTTATAAAAAGTCTAAAATACTTGAATTTCTGCTTTTGAATATATTTCATTTTAAGGCTCCAATGGCTGTCCATAATTTTTAAGTCCAACTTAGTGTTAAGTTCTACTTAGTATCTTTGTGAAACACCCCCTGCACTTCAAAACTTTCTCTTTTTCACTAATTGAAAAACATTAATAACAACAACAGGGACAACAATGTACTGAAACGAACTATGTCTCTGTTCATGACGTAAATATTGATAGCTATGTACATAATCAAATTTATCAACAAGGAATGAATACAATAACAATGAGTAAGACACTAGAAAAAAAGAAAGAGAATATATCCTTACATCTAGGTGATCAACTTTTCACAAATGAAACACAAATCTGAATCGAGTTAAAATACATACATTTTTGGTCTCAGAACTGCAGTATACAAAATAGATGCAGATCTAGAATAATGAATTTTGGGGATGCAAATCTGTGTAAAAGCTGTCATGAATGAATTGAACTTTGAATACATCACATACCTACCAAATATGGAATACATGCCTATTACATTACGTATTGAATACATGTAATTATATTTCTGAATGGAACAAGAATACTAATGCTCTTAGGAACTAGAGCTGAACACATCATTAGTAGTACTGATGTCAATACGAATATATATATAGTTCATCACATTTTTGTCTAATTTACATATTTTTCAAAGGCACACATTTTTTCTATCTACATGTATAAAGGGAATACAATTTCGGAATAGCAATACATTTACATGCAGGTAACAAAAGGGAATCAACGTTTTAATGGAATGAATGAAATACAGGTACAGTGAAACCTGTATATAAAGACCACCCAAGGGAGACAAGAAAAGTGGTCTTGAGAGGCAGGGGGTCTTTATGTACAGGTTCCTTTAGTACATGTTTCAATGAGAAACCATTATCAAGGGAAACAAAAATGTGGTCTTTGTAGACAGTGGTCTTTCTATACAGGTGGTCATTAAAGCAGGTTTGACTGTTCATACACTATATATGTATGGTTCACACGTTATCTTGAGTTCTTGTAATAATAATAATTGTAATGATAAGTTACATTAATGAAACACAGACACTATGCAAATATATTCTAATGCACTGCAAGAGCTCTTGATGTTAAAATCTAAGACATAAATTTAAATGAAAAGATTTACTTTTAGATTTTATTTAATGACAGTGAATTCCTAATTTCGACGGTTTTGGGCCTGCTCATTCAAATGCTTGATCTCCCAATGTTATTTTTGTTTTATGTGATGGGGTTGGCAATGATGAAACTGAATTTTGATAAAATATCTTTTGAGGAAGTTTAGATTGTTGATCACATAGCAGCTATTAAAGAATGCTTATTACAGGGTTATTCAGACTTTAAAAGATGAAAAACAAAAAAACCTGGTGAAAACAATACACATAATGTTATATGATGTACATGTATGTCAGACTACAACATTGACACATTGTCAGAGTATTGTTTTCAGCAAGTTTGTTTAGTTTTCAGTTTTCAGTCTGAATGACGATCTAGATGTACATGTAATCACAAACTACAACATACATTATTTAATTAACAAGGAACTGAACATTTTCAAATGATAAATTGCTTATTTTAACGATACATGTATAAGGGTCAAACATTACTATAATCTCCATGTTATAAATATATTATTCCTTCTTTTACATCAAAAGGCAAAATAATGATGCACAGCATACATATACATGTAGGTCCACACAACTGCAAATCAATCATTAAGTCGATAATTTCCTCTATACTTACAGTATCTTATCCCGACAATTCCAAGTTTATCACTATCCCATAACTTACATTATTGCTTACTTTGATGTCGAAGCCATTCAAATTATAGATTTACCCTTTAAAGCCCTCAAACACAATCCCCAAACTTGAATACAGCACGGCAAAATTTCACAAATTTTTTTCCTGAAAACCTTCCCCATGCATGTACATGTACTTGTACATTACATAAAGCTGATTCAGTATTCTTTTTCAAATTTCTTGCAAATCATATTAAAAACCTACATACAATCATTTTATCCTTGAATAGCAATATTACAACATATTTTTTTTTTAAATTCATTATAGCACAATTCAAATGCAAAAGCAAATTAAGTGATAAATTAGTATTTCATTTACTGTTAATCAAACAATTATCAAATCAATAATATTTACATTTAACTTGTGGCAAGTAGCAAAACGACTTGCACAAGTTACTTTGTAATAAAGTTCACTTACCCGGTACTATTAAAAAAAGACACTTTAATAATTATTTTCATTTGGAAGGAGTTCATTTTGACAGACGTGCATTTTGACAAAAATGTTGTCACAAAGTGCGTAGCAAGCTGAGGCAAGTTAATATATACATAAAATATCACATGCTGATCACAATGTCAACAAATTTGGGCCAAACTCCTCCCACAATTGTTATGGTATTTCTAAGAGTATGAATTTTTCAATGAAGAGTTGTTTGGTTTTCTAAATGTATAAGGCTGAAAAATACAGAGACAAAAAGCACTTGGTGAATTTGCTGTAATTGCTCCAGCCAAAACTGTTTGAAGCACTTTATAATAATGTCTACTGAATGTATTTCACAATGAATTCATTAGTAATAAGTTTTATATGCAGGCAATTTCCAAAATATTCATAGCATTTATTTGTGAAAAGAAAATATTTAAAACAAATTACCAAAATTTATCTGTCTAAGTTCTGCAAAGTTAATTTTGCTTTTATATTTAACAATTATAATCGAGGACAAAACTATAAATATAGGCACAGAAACAAATATAACTTTATTTTGCAAAACCTTTTCTTGTAAGTTGTCATCATCTCATACTAATTTAAGTGCACTTTCGCTCTGGTTCATGACAGTTTAGACCTTAGAATAAAATATCTATCAAAAAGATCATATTTATATAATTTTTGAATACAACCAACTGTTAACCATGAAGGGAAAATTCAGAATACAAACTTAATATTCTATTAATATTCTTCTGAATACATGTAACAAGTGATAAAACAATTTCATGAATACATTTCATTGAAGTTGAAAATGCCCTGGAATACATACTTTGAGTTGTACAATATCATATTCAGGAAATTATGCAATCCATGCGATACATTAAAACCATGTATGCATCTAAATCTTTACAAATTCATTGTAATTCCATTCATGAAAAACACGAAAATCATGTAGGTGTTAGTATGTGTTCAAATCTTTATAACTTCATTATAATTCTATTCATGCTATACAGTAAGTTATGAATAAAATCTTTGAAAATTCAATTAATAAATTTTGATTTTAGTTCATTTTCTAGGGGTGTACGTGTATGTTTTGAACGGTCTAATACTTGATTTCCATAGAGTAGCACTACTTTTGTTAAACCTGATTTTTAACAAAAAATGAAGCCCAGCATCGAGGATTAAGTTATGGAAGAATATGGCAATCATTCTAAAAAATAATCACATCATAATTATAATTCATTGCAATCGCACAAGTCTCACTGCATTCAAGCAAAATGCATGTGAAATGTCTAAACTAGACTTTACAAGATGTCCAATTGATCTGTTTCAAGTGAATATTAAAGAGCTAACATCGGTTATAATTTTTGCCAACAGAATATATGTACAAATCTATATGTACATCGTATATATAAGGTTAGTACAGATAAGAATATATAAATAATGTGAATAATTTACAAATACAAGTATTTTCAACTTTTTGTCCTACCTAATATGCGTATAACTTTAATACAACAAAGCACCAGTATAAATCTCCAAACTACTCAACTTCAACGACTAACGCCTCTACTTCAACGACTAACGATTTTACTTCATGGAGATATTTCATGAGATAACTAGCAATATCCTTCGGTCTGAACTTTTGAAATTCTTTTGTGGGTTTATGCAAAGGTCTTTGGAGCACATCTGTTTTGGGGATGGTAGATTTAAATCTCCACTGTTCCATCGTTTCTGGCTTTAAACAGATGACATCTCCCTTCACGATTGGCACACTAAGTACATAGGAATACAAATTCAACATATACAATCGATAGATGTTTATATGATAGTCTATTACACGTAGCAATCACATTGCTTCATTTAACACACTGGCTTTTAATTACATGTTATCAGTAAATCCAAACTTTCAGGTAGTCAGGCACACTGCACAAGCCACAGGGATCATCTTTGGTGAGTGACGTAGCAATTCGCAAGGTGATAACGACAGGCCACTGAGCTTAAAGGTGACACGCGATACACGATGCAAAAATAAAGATGAGATGTGCAAAGAGTGAGCTATTAATATAGGCACTGGTGGGGCACCAGGACCCTGTTTCACAAAACTTGTCGTCAATGACAAGTTACAGTAACTGTTATAAGCTATTGAAATCAAGCCATTGGATTGGCTGAGAGCAAATTGGTCATGGAACTTTAGCATTTGTTATTGATATCAAGTTTTATGAAACAGGGTCTCAAGTTTGACGGACATAGATTTATACAAGAACTCAAATGCTCAAGATTCTTATTATTACTATAACCCGGTGATTATCAACGCATTTTTCCCCCTCCTTCTTTTAAAGCAAGAGATCAATTTTAGAATCTATGAGCCTGCACGAATGCTCTACAGTATAGGGATTTATCTTATCCTTTGGATAAGACTCACAGCTATAGGTCCCCTAGTTTCTTCATGACATGAACATGTGCTTACTTGCTGGAACCCACAGTAGAATAATCCGTCATTCTATTTTGCTTTGAGCTTTAATATTATCCATCCAAAATCCAAATAGAACCTTTTTTTTTTTCAAGCTGCATCAGCCAAACTTTACGTCTTCTCAAAAAATATTTGGTTGCAAAATTTTCCATCACGTTCTGAATAATCCACATAACCGTAACGATCCTCATTTCAAATACATTTTATTGCAGATGATTTCAATCCTCCAAACAGCATTTCTTTAAACAATTAACATATTTGCGAAAGAAGTTTTTGAAGCTCCTAAAAAAGAATCATGGATTAAAAGAGGTGCTTCCACTAATTCTCTCTTCCTTCTATCATGGTGCATGTGCATGTACACTGCATGTTCCCAGGCAAGTGGTAGTGGATAGAGGTCCCTTCAATTGTGATCTGTTGCCGGACTTCAAATATTAAACAGCTGAATGCGAGTGGATTATAGACTTCATCTGCTTCTGTGATCTCCTTCGAAACCTATCATCAAGTGAATCAATCAATTTAGATGATAAGTGACGTTCTAAAGCATTGTGAAACTTGAAGCAGTACATGAGTACAATCACTGCTAGGCTACGCTCACTAAATTTGCTCAAAATATATCCATTCTTTCTACAAGCGAGGAATGCAGACTTTGGAATCCCACCACATCATATTACAGGATATTCTCCCTCAAGGTGTACATGTAAGGCCTACGCATAAACTGTAGTACGTCGTAAAAAAGCTTTGGAGACGTACTGTTGGCAATAGTCAATTACTGCGTCCATTCAGGTTTGCTACGATCTATCCAATGTCGACTACAATGGTGCTACCTGCAACAGCATCCACACGTCTAGTTTGCAACACACTTTAATATTCAAATTGGAATGCACGGGTGTAAAATTCACGCACTACCTCTCTGCAAAGGTTCTGCTTTAATATATATATCATCTATATCGAAGATGGAAGGCACTGATCTGTGTTCTATTCCAAAAGCAAACAAAAAATTGTCCATGAGTCTGGTGCCCTATCAAATGAGTCGCTCCTCTGGAGGCATTTTGAGGACGTTGTCCATCTCGACGAACGAGCCGGTCATCTCCTGCCGGCTGGGGCTGTACGATCCCTGCGTCGCCCTCTTTTTCCTCACCGAACAAACAAAGAAGGAGAGTAAGATGATGACGATGATAAGCACGACCGCCGCGGCAAGCGAAGCTCCGATGATGATCCAATTGATGTTAGTTGCCGTCTGCAAGGAAAGTGAATGGATAAATAAGTGAGGACTTGGTTCTAGGTTAATTCAAACACAAGAGTAATTTATATTTTATATTATACTCAAATTTTTCAATTTTTTCTTTCAAGATTTCAGATTGATATGAGAGAAATTATTTTTTAGAAGTTCCAATGGAATATGAAGACTTCAACAGTTGCAGAAAGGAAGATGAAAAAACTGTAATACATGTGTAAAAACATTAATCACATTTTACATATAAAACTAATGTTATTAAAAGGAGATAAAACTACTACCGTTTATATCTATCATTCAGTAAAGATAATCTAGTGGTATTCAATGAATATACTTTTGTAAGGAATATTTCTAACATTGCTGCTTTTTTATCAAATCTCCTTCTCTCTTTTTTATATGTCTGTTAGTTATTTCAGTTGTACCAGCCACATGAGATTACCACAATCCCAACGCTTTTCAGCGTACCAGCACACACACACACACACACACAAAAAAAATTCTGACAATGCTTTCAGAGCATGATACAGTGAAACCTGTCTATAAAGACCACCCAAGGGAGACAAGAAAAGTGGTCTTTATAGGCAGGTGGTCTTTATGTACAGGTTCTTTCAGTACAAGTTTCAATGAGAAACCATTTTCAAGGGAAACCAATAATGTGGTCTTTGTAGACAGGTGGTCTTTCTATACAGGTGGTCGCTACAGCAGGTTTGACTGTGCCTCATTAAAGTGTTACATATCAAAAGAGTGTAAGCATCCACACTCAACTTCAACCTCTAATAAACAGTTTGACTTACATTTTCGCAGTTGTCGCCTGAGTAGCCGTCCGCACATTCACACTCATAGGTCGGCGTCGCGTCCAAGAGGAAACACGTTCCTCCGTTCTGGCAGAGACCTTCCGTGAAGCAGGGGTCCATAATAAGGCACTGCGGTCCAAGGTACCCTTCTACACACTCACACTTGTAGCTGCCAGGTTCCTCCATACATGTCCCTCCGTTGCTGCAAGGGTTGATGGTCGCGTTGCACTCCAGGATGTCTTCCTCGCAGTAAGTTCCTTGGAAACCTAGAAGAGATGAATTATGATGATGATCAGTATCTCACTCCTATTATTTATATAATACAGAGAAACCTTTTTATAAAGACCGCTTAAGGGAGACAAGCAAAACAGTCTTTACAAGCAGGTGGTCTTTATAGACAGGTTGCCCTAGTACACGTTTCATTTGCAAAAAGGGACACAAAATGTGCTTCACAACTCCCAAGTATCACTCTCAAAACACAATGATGTGAACATTAAAAAAGGAGGAAATGTTTTAACTCTTGCTAAAGACGAGCACTCAAAAGTCCCAGAGCCCGTCAAATATGTCCTATGGGACCTATGGCTCCAATCCTATCCAAAGCAATATTCCTACGTATATGTCAAACAGATAATATATCATAATGGTACATTACAATTTAGAAAATAAAATCATTTACCGGTAGGTGATTGTTAACATGGTACATGTACTTTTTTCCATGAACCTATGTCTCCCCTCAAACACGTGATAAAAGCTGGTTTGACTTTGTGGTAAATGTTTACTGAGTCACAGACCACCAATTCCAGTGTCATGATCAGTCAAAGATATCAAACACACAAAGTGTATTGTACATGTACTCTTCATGACCTTCTCTGAATCAGAAGATAGGGTTTTTTGTTATTGTTAGGAGTACGCATTGTCATAAGAGATACAGGTTTCTTTCAACAAACGGCACATTCACATACATTTTTCAAAGAATTACAGCCCCTCTAAAGTGTTGGGAGCCCCAAATTTGAAGGCAAAATTTCACCTAAATTGTAACATAATGTGAAACGGGATGTCTTTAAAGGAACACTTCTGCAAAGATTTCCCCAAAAAATTGTGTTTGAAGACAAATATTGATAAAAGAGTACTGGTACATAATTTAAGTTTCTGTTGTAGGCAGAAAGCCTAAATTTTGTATTCTTTCATCAATATTCAACTTCAAACACATATATTTTGAAAATCCTTGCAGAAATGTGTCTTCAATGACATCCTCTTTCACATTATGATACAATTTAAGTGAAATTTTGCCTGTCAACTTTTTGGGCACCCAACACTTTAGAGGGGCTTTAAGATGCCCATGCCTACATGGCTTTAAACATGTTATTACACCATTTCATTTCTTGAAAAATTATTAGTCCCAAGTTTGTCTTAAAGTTGGAAAGCATGTTTGTAAGTAACTGCTACATATATGCTTGTTTGATTTCAGCTTTGCCTTTAAAATGAGAAACAGACAAGCTACAAGTAAATAGACAGTAGCACTTTAATAAACACCTTTAGCCTCAATGAGAGAGAGAACGCGCACATGGTGTCTACTTCGTTAGCGGCTCAGGAAATTTGAGGTTATGTAATTAGGAAATAGTTGGATGTTCTTTTTGGCAGCTCAATGTAGATTTCACTGTGTAATGTGTGATTTACATCACTCAACAGAGTGGGGGGAAAACTCGCCGGAGGGGAAACCCACCTTGCGAGATAACACAGATTTTCCATGTCACAAACATGTGAACAATACACACCTAACTATCTTATCGCCTGATTTGGGAAGGAGAATTAATTTTTGGGCATCCCAGTATACACTGATAATGTTCGTCTGGTGACCCCTACAAAAAAAAGTTGTCAGAAGGAACATGAGACCAACTTGTTGGCCTTGTGGGCTTGCGATCTCCTGGGCCGTCTATTTTGTGGTCCTTCTGGCAACTTGTCAGAAGGTTTGCGAGACTATTAAACATTGTCGGTCCAGTGGGCCTTCTGAAAACTTTGCAGAAGGTTCCCTAGACCGATAATGTCAGTTTCATGGGCTATTGGTATCACAGACTGTAGTGTTTGCACTATCCACAAACAGTTCATAGACTTTTGTTTCTAAACATATAATTCCAAGAAAGGTTTACTCAGTGAATCGTGATAGACTAATTAATTAGGGTCATCCAACAAAATTTGCAAAGACAAAAAAACTGTTTCATCAGGAAGAGATAGCATCATTACAAAAATTAGCATAACTTATGTGAACAGCCCTCTGAAGTACTCCCATATTGTGACTGAGTGTGAAATGCCCTCTCCAGCACTTCAATGTGCATGTACATCTAGAACTTCTCAAATCTCAACTAGCTGAAGATTACTTTCAAAGAGACATTGAGTCCTTTACTGATGCTACAAATATCAAATCCCATCATACAGACAAACTATCATACTGCAATGGTACAGCACAAAAATTGGGAAAAAAAAAGAGAGAGGCAGAGAGAGAGAGAAATGGAGAGGGGGAAGAGAGAGAAAGAGGGAGAGGGAGGAAGAAGGAGGAAGAGAGAAAAGAGAGAGAGAGAGAGAGAGAGAGAGAGAGAGAGAGGGGAGAGATATATATATATATAAAGCAACCTTTTAACCTTGATCTTCAAAATTCCTTGTCTATGACATGACAAATCTAGACTGTTTGATTGAACACAAGTAATATTGTCTCATTCTGAACGTCTTAATGTGAAGGATCACAGATTAATCTGTTACATTTAGGAGTCTCTACTTAGGATCTCTTGCAGACTAGAATGATCCATGTAGCCTTGCAAAGCAGAGACAGGAACGTGATCAAACTTGGAAGTCTTGTGTCCTGTTCATACTTAAAAATTAGCCATCATAAAGGTGCACTTGATCACTTTATCTGCATCTGACAGGACCCAGATTTTTATTATTCTTCCTATACACTGCACATACATAGAAGTACAGGACTCACGCTTTCTTCATTCTTTCAGCCTAACCATATCAAATACATGTACCACCAAGCAGTCAGGAATGCGATGCCTGTATACCTGTATCGCAGTTCCGTGCCTCATTCATACTTCCAGGCTAAATTGGACTGAGCCATTGCTGAGCTGCCAGACTCTGCAGGTTAAGAATGCTAAACCAACCCCAAATCAACTGATTCTTGGCCATTTGAAGGTCTTGTAAATTCATGTTCAGAATGCTGTCGGTCGCTCTCTCTCTCTCTCTCTCTCTCTCTCTCTCTAAAGGGATTTTCCTGTAAGCACATATAAGCAGATACTCATTCAAATTCCATAGGCAACACTCACTTCTTATACATTTACATTTACCTATCACTCCAAAATATTATATAAAATACCAAGGTGATTTGATCAGTGATTATCACAATTGAATATAAAAATAGCACTATAGTAGTAGAGCGATAATCTTGTTACCACAAGGTCCCGGGCTCAAAACTAATTTGACGCTCTAATGCCATTTGGTAAGGCATTAATCATCATAACCAAGTCCCGCAGAGAAAATGCTAAACTGTCAGAATTCTAGTTGCTTCTTTACAAGCAAATGCTTTCTATAACACATTACCGGTATGTAGCAGTCAGGTTTTAAAAGCAAATCATCATGAACTAATTAAACATCTACATGTTGCTATCACATTCTAGCATACCGGTAAATGTATGCTATTTCAACTGATATAAATTTACAGAAAGTAATACTTGAAAGGATACATTACCAGATATAAGGTTGTGCATGTATGTAAATATAGCATGAATTCCTCTAATGGTACATGCACAGTACTTCTTGTACAACGCAACATTTATTTTTCCTTCCTTGTTGACTAAAATAAATCTCTCTAGTGAACCCTCCTAAGCTCTCAAACAATGAATTAACATGGACCAAAGTCCTTGCTCCACATCCAAGCACAGTCAAATTAGTGTAAAGGTGACAATAAGTCATAACAGCCAAAATATTTGCGGAATTGTAAATTATAACATGTTTGGAATAGCTAGGATTCTGCCTTTGTTAATAGTTGCATCCGACTCTGTCTGCCTACAATTACAGTAGTGTAACCATCATGATAAAATAAGGTTCCCTCTTTTCATCTCCCCCCTCCTTCCTACCCACCCCCCCCCCCCCTTTTTTTTGGGGGGGGGGGGGTACAAATTACTAATAAACCTTGTCAGAGCCACAGGCATTTGAAATTATCTGCACTTTTATAAAGATTGTAACAAATCTAATATCTTGACACAAACAAACGATTATCTATTTTGGTCAGATTCTATATGATACAAAATCAGAAATTTCTTTGATCATACATACATGTACATACATATGTATGTATTGTGTTACCAGCCACAAATATCGAGCCAACAAAAGCCTACAAAAGTTTCATTCTTCACATGACCTGTAGAGCTTTTTTACTGCTCTGTTTGTCAACCTCAAAACTAAATGGTAAAATATTTGATGCAAGAGACAAGGCAACGCTTTATGAGTTGAAAACAAATATGCGGAAACAAATGTTTTTCTTTCTCTTCTGTATACTGGGTCAACCTAGGGTCAGAATTGTATGGATTCACTGAATCATGAAATGAATGGACAACTATTAAACTATATCTGATTTGATGACTTTTGATTGACAAAAAAAAAATGCCATTAATTTTCTTTTCCCCCTTTATTTGAGCGGTATACAAATGTACCTTTTACTATTTGAAGGCATATATTTGTTCAATTGAGAGATCCTATTTTGTAGAATTTAGTAAAAAGAGGCTCTGGACCAGCGCAGCTGAATATATTTTGTATAAAAGCTGTGCTATATCAAATTATTATCATTATTATTATTATTAACTACACCATGTATTTTGACCAACTACCATTTCCTAAAACTTCTAATACATGTATAACCATGACTACTTCTACTACCCCCCCCCCCCAAAAAAAAAAATGTTTTTCACTACTCCTACATGTCCTGCTACTTTATCATCATACAGTCATTAATACCGACAAGAAAACTACATATAAAAATACATATGTATTAAAAATCAAAATGATAGAGTATTACAAAAATAGGAAAATTCGAAAAAATGAAATATTTGTGTCTAGAAAATTATGTAATGTAGTGTTACAAATATCAGTCACAAACACAAGAAAGGTGTAAAATCTGAAATATATTGACTTGTTCCAGTCACAGGAAAAAATTTAAAATCTGAAAGAAATACTGTGTACTTTACCTGTTCCTTCACAGTTACATTCGTAGCCATTGACAAGATCTGTGCAGGTTGCCCCATTGACGCACTGGTTATCGACGCATTCATCAATGTTGGTTCCGCAGTTCTTGTCGGTATATCCCGCTACGCAGGTGCACTCATAGTCGTAAGGCAGGTCTGTGCAGGTGGCCTCGTTTAGACACAGGTTGCTGGCGCAGTCGGGCAGTTTGATTTCACAAACTATACCTGAATATACATCAAGGGATAAAAGAGATGATGAGTGTGGTTTTAGGACAAGCTCGTGCAGATGGCCCAGTTTTCACATACATGAAAGTTGCTGGTGCAGTCTGGCAGCTTGATCTCACAAACTCTAAATACGTGTAATGTAAAGGATGAAAGTGATATTAAGGAGGGAGATAATAGGGCAAGTTTGTGCAGCTAACCCAGTTTTCACAAAAGTTGCTGGCATAGTCTGGCAGTTTGAATTCACAAACTCTATCTAAAAGTGTATGAAGTACAGGAGGAGATGGAAGTGATGATGAGTATGGTAGCTAGGCCCGTTTTCACAAAAGTTGGTGCCGCAGACTACCACTTGGTTTAAAAAATGACATGAGTTGTAATGCACAGTTCCAAAATATACAGTACATGTACATGTATGTTATTCAAACAATGTACATGTATCCAACACATAAAAAGGAGCTACGATTTAAATTTGATCGACTTTTGATGAATTCTAGCATAATATGATCACAACCTAGCCAATCAAATGCAAGGATTTCAGTGGCTAATAACTATTATCGCTCTTTTTATTGATAACAAGTTTTATGAAACAGATCTCTGATCTTTACTATAAAAAGAGTCATTTCCAAACTGCAATCACAAGATTCAAGATCACAAATCATCTAACAAGCAAAAGACTCCTTACACAATGTACAGGTACGGTGCTATTACATGTTCGTAGACGTGTAACTATGACACTTGTTAATCATTCCTAATGAGCTCACTTACCACTGTAACCCGGCGCACACGTGCAGGTAAAAGTCACCCTGTCGGACGTACAGTTACTTCCCTCTTGTTGGCAAGGGTTGCTGTCGCACCAGTCAATCTCGTTCTGGCAGTTCGTGTCGTTGAAACCCGTCGGGCAGGAACACTGGTACGTGAACGAGTCGTCGGCGGGGTCCAGCGTCTGGGAGCACGTGCCCTCGTTCTGGCAAGGGGGATTGATGCAGGGGCCAGCAAATTGGCAACGCGTACCTGTGTGTCGGGGAAAGGGGGAAATGTTTATACTCATGGAACAATGAAAAAATGAAAAAATGAAAAAAAGTACAGTGAAACCTGTGTGTAAAGACCATCAAATAGAATATCTGACAAGAATATCTGTCTCTATAGGCAGGTGGTCTTAATGTTCAGGTTCCTTTTAATGCATGTATCAATGTTAATAGAAGTGTTCTTTCTATACAGGTGTTTGCTACAGCAGGTACGACTTCGTCAAGCTTGGTTTATGAAATGTTGTATTATCATTATCACAACCTTTGACACAATAGATCAACCTAACTGTATGCAAACATGTACAGAGGCAAATGAAGATGGGGGGATCCTAATTTTCTATAGATTAAGAAATATTTTGAAATGAATTTTTGACCTCCTATATTTCCTAACCCCAAAGATACATGTACTCTCACTCCAGTCAAATTAAAAATCCTTAAAGGTAAAGACCAGTTATGGTCATGCGATTGCATTGTGAAAGAAACGTTGTGGAATCGATCAAAAAAGGTTGATCATCTAGCATCTAGCATCTGCAAGGTTCTGGAATCATCAAAATGATAAGAAATTTGGCCCATTCTTATTATAGTTACAAGCACTATACACAGAAAGATGTATATGGGACAACCCTATATCTCTCACAGACCATGAGAGAAACAAATTTACCAAATATATGAATTAGTAGGCAGTTTCCCGGCAAATTTTTTATCATCATGTATTAGTCAAAACATATTCTTTCACATGATTGGTAATGAGAGCTTCCATTTCATTTTTTGAAATTGGGGCGTTTTCAATACTGGTCTTTACCTTTAAGAACATCTAGTTTTAACAATATGTGAGAAATTCATTTCATATGTACACAATTTACTTTCGGAGATTTGCCTGTATTCATAATATTCATGAACTGTATTCATCAATGTAATTAAAGCATTATGCGATTCATACCTTAAATTTTGGCAAGACTATATCATTCTTTATGCTACAGTTTGTCAGAATTTGCGGCATTTTTGTCACATATATATATTTGAATTATTGGGAATAATAATCACTGATACATGAACTTATAATTCCCAACAAACTACGATAGTAACATTGTAGAAAGGGAGGAATAAAATCAGTCTCCAACAAACCTCTTATGCCTAAACAAATTAAATCATTGTGAATATATGTGGCAGAATTATATTATTTCAGCTCTGCTTCTTTTATGTAGGAAGTATGACAAATATGCTTCTAATAAAATAAAATTTGTTTTTACATTTTTGTGACATAGTACAGTGTACATACAGTATTACATACCTTGATAATCTGTTTTTTTTCTTTTTTCTAATTCATTCCCAATTAAAATAATTGTTCAAAGAAGATTAATGAGCAGAAAAATTACTGTATAAGGCCAACAAATATTGTAAAGCACCATGACTCACTATTGTGTATAGGCAATTAAACCAAAATATCTCTCTACAAATACCAGTGTTTTTTATAAACATGATCTGTTCTTTAGTTTGATGATACTATTTCTCTCTGGCAAGTCTTGAATTTTAAGTTCTGTGGTTGATTACTCAATTTTATAATGTAAGTTCACAGTTTCTTTATCAATATAAAGAGTAGTGGTGAACTTTAAAACAAACATACAACAGACACAGAAAACAAAGAACAACATGCAATACAAAAGTCACACAAACATAGGGACCGTCAAATAAACATTTACAACAATGCAAACAAGAAGAAGAAAAAAATATTCACTCACTTTCAATATAAACAGTAGAACAACAACAAAAATAACACAACATATAACACGCACAAAAAAACTGTTGAATGAACGTATCATGTACATCTACAGTGTAATATACAGGAACATGTGCATGTATATGCCACATAATCACAAATTTACAGTGTACTTTAACCATCGATTTAACATCAATGTGTATTAAAGTCTTCTGCCTGCTATAATAAAGGTCTCTGTATAATATCTTACGATCAAATATGAACAACGGAAGATTTCAAAACAATCAGTATTCAAAACTCACCTACACAAACAGGAACATAAAACAATGTACAAAATACGACACGACACAGGGCGGAACACAAACACAGCAAGTAGAATATAGATTCAGGGAGAGAGAGAGAAACATCAGGAGAAGTGAGAGAGACATACATAGAGGTGAGTGAGAGAGTGTGAGTGAGAGAGAGAGAGTGTGAGAGAGACAGAGCGAGAGAGAGAGAGAGAGAAACAGAGACAGAGAGAGAGAGCAAGAGAGTGAGTGAGTTAAAGAGAGAGAGACAGAGATACTCGGAATGACAAGAGTATTGTGATGTGTTGAATAGAAAACGAGGTGCTATCTGATTAAAGTTGTCCTCAGTTGTTCAACAGCTGGTCGTATGACGATGACAACGACATGTAGATGTTACTAGAAATATGTTTAGAGATTGGGGTAGTTGATAAGAATACAATTGTTTTGTATGATTGATTTTTGAGATAATATAGGAGGTTCTTTCTGTTCATGTTATGACATTACCTACAAAAAGTGAGTGACTCATGAATTAAAGTCTCTAGAAATGAGAGAATTCAGTAAGGAATGGGTTAATATGACAGTGTTTTGACTAGCTACATGTAGGATGTATATACACATGTACATGTATGTGAGTCATGAAGTATGTGTACATGTACATATACATAGGCATGTATAATACAGTTACAATGTCTGTGTATATATTTATCATACATTTATGTACCGTAAGTATATATCTGCATTGTGAATAATATTAATAATTTATTTTACATTAAGATAAATACCCCCCCTCCAACAACAACAAACAAACAACACAATAATAATGATTTTAATGATAATTAAAAAAATGAAAAATAAGATGAATAAATAAATTAATAACTTTGAAAAATTAATGATTAAAACTTTAAAAATAAGTAACTGAAAAACATTCACATCATTGTATTTTATTCTGCATACGTTACCACGCGAGTTTTAGTTACAGCATGGAACTATTAAAATAACATCCAACAAAATGTAGCGGTACTGTACATTCATAATTAATTCTCAATAATATTTTTGTTTGTTTTTGCTTTTGTTTATTTGTTTGTTTTTTCCTTTCTTTGTCTGTTTTTCCTTATTCTCCTGGATTCCACCAACTATTGGATATTACATTGTACTTGTACAAAAGAACTTGGGTCTGGATATTTTTAGTTTAATACATGCATGCTCATATGTAGTGGAATGTTCAATGCAAAAATAACTATTAAAAAAACAAAAGTACAAATTATATATACATTTACAGTGTAGAATATGAAGTAATGATGAATATGACCAAGGTCCCAGTGAGATGGGAGTTCAAATTATTTCTAGATTGTAATAATGTGATAGACTGTAAAAGAAATTTGTTCATTTTTAGTTGAAAGAAGAGGAATTAGATCACCACTACCCATTAGTTCCTTTAAAGCAGGCTACAATGTTGTCTAGCTGTTTATATGGTACTTTTCAACCAACTACACATTATACTACATAAGAATGAAATATATTTCAGAACTAAATGTAACTGTAGTACTAAAGACATAATATTAGAGTTTTGACAAACAAAGATACATTTTGAAATAAGAATTTCAAAAAGAGATATTAGTAAAAGACAACCATTCACACTGCATTCACATTAGATTTGTTTCATGTACGCTTGACAAGAATTATTCGGTATATCTACATATTCATTCCCAAGGAAAAGTTTGCATTGTTCTGAAAAGTAAATCTGCATGCAGATCTTCAAAGAACACATACGTCTAAAAATTGTACATGTATATACCTGATACCTAAATGTCAGCTTACAACTTTCTTTTCCATACAGCCAGAGCCAAATTTTAAGGGGGAAAACAAATCCCAAACAGGCCAACTTTAAACCTCTTGGCTCACTTTGAGGTGTTCCACAGTAATGTTTGTTTGCACCTTAGCTGGTTATATATTCACATGGATGCTCACAATGTCTGGATTTCCTGGTACTCTGTGTCTATGATCAGCGCAGATAAGGTGTGCATGAACATTACTTCGGAACGTCCTTATCAAAAAATGTACATGGGCAAGAGACTTTGTTATAAATGAGCTACATTGTATACATAGCTTTATTGATTTCATGTCTGCGTACTCTACATGAAACAAATCTGAGTGGCAGTGACATTCACAACAGAATATTAAAGAACATTATGATTGTTTCTAGACTGTAACACACACACACAAAGACAATACAAAGATGTGTCCGCTGCATGAGAGAAAGGAAGTATAGACCATGGAAAGTAAAAAGAGAATATCTAACAAGTCTGCTGAGAGCCAGAAGGGTGTTAGCTCCACTATTGTAGCATTTTGCAGAGTGTTGAACCATGGACCTACTACATGGTTAAACCAATTTAACAGCCTCCTGACTCTCAAGCTAAATTTTGCTAAAAGGTAATGATGTTTCGAGTATAATTCAAAGAGAAAACAAGAAAATTTAAGGTCTAGGGTAAAGTGAAACAATTTCCAAAATATGAGTATGCAGGCATTCGCATTATACGCTAAAATCTAACTATGGACCACAGGAATAAATATGAAAAAAAATCAACAGGTATGTATTAAATACGCACAAAAGTCTCTTCTTTTTTTTTTTTAATAATTTGTTTAAATAGTTTTTATTTGCAAGTAAACATCTCTAGAAAGGAAGAAATTAATATTTTCATATTTTCTCAAATATTTTTTTCAATATTGTATACAGACGATTAAGGCATTCTTTTCACCTCATGTACATTTTCCATTTCAAATATGCACAAACTCTGAAAGCTTCTTGTCAGAAGATGGATTTAGATTCATATAACCTTTCAAAAAAAAGCTTGGTTCCCCTTTTACGGTTATAAGCTTAGTGCATACTGCTCTAATCCTCTTTAGATATTATAAAGCAGGTTACCATATAAACAATTAATTGCAATCAGGCATGCTGTTTGAGCAGCATTAATGCTAGAAAGCATCACATGGCTTTAAATAGCATTTAATTCAATATACAAGGATTTTTAAAAACTTTCCCAGGTCCATACGCCCTTCTCCCATCCAGCTAACAAATATGGAAAAGCCAAGAGAAGTTTCCAGGAGAAAGATAGTACCTTCGTTAAACTCTATACAGATGCACCACCAGGAGCTTGTTCCCCAGTCCACACTACAAAGCCCGCCGTTCTGGCAGACGACGGCCGAACAATCGGCCACTTCGCACACGTCCCCTACATATCCCAGGGTGCAATTGCAAAGGACACTATCGGGGGACTCAACGGAGCATTGACCGTCGTGCTGGCAGGGATTGGGACTGCACGGGGCAATTTCGCAGTTTCGACCAAAGACACCCTTGGGGCAAGTGCAGGTATAGTTGCCCTCAGTGTTAGAACAGTTGCCCCCATTTTGGCAAGGGTCAAGGGTCATGCATTCATTGACATCTACGTCACAATGCACGCCTGTGGAATACATTTGATTATTTGGTATACATCATTAATGCACGTTTTGGTGCAAAGGGCCAGAAAACATGAGAGGGCAGTATTCACAAATTTAATTTTGTATGAATTGAATGAGAATCACAAATTTGATATTTTGGAGGGGTAGGGGTAATATGTTTCTCAAATAAATAAGGTAATTTTGAAGTTAAAAATGAAGGTTCCATTTGAAATATAAACCAAGGGCAGCGAGATAAAGGGGAGAGGGGAGGAAGAATTTAAAAGGAAAAAATATTCAAATATGCTTTATGCAATTTCAATTGAATAGAATCAATGTTTGATTTTTGTTTAATGAAATATTTTCATTTTCGATCCAAATCCATGCAAAAATTGAATGAAAACAACAACTGGGGTTAGTTTTTGACCAACAGGTCGGGGGGGGGGGGGGGGGAGGCTCACATTCAAATGGGGCATGCCTTTCCTTCATGTACGTGTACACTTACATGTATGAGTGTGTTAGTGGTCTCGGAGTAGGGAACACCGCAGGGTTAGCTAAAAGCAAGGCTTTATAGAACATGAGAGAGCAATGCGCAGTGCGTTGGCCTTAATATTTGGTTAGAAGGGTGTTATTGTTATGAATTTTAAAATGAAGAAAAATGTGGAGAACCTTTTTTTATTTAAATTTAATTTCAGACTAACAGCAGAAACAAATTACTATTGTTTTCCTGATAAAAGTGATGTGTGATAATGATGATGATGATGGTGATGATGATGATGATGATGATAATGACCATAATGATGTGATGACAAAAATGATGATGACAGTGATGATGATTATAATAATGAATATGCCATCGATTACAAAATTGATATAGTTGATTATAGTTGATATGTTCACGGAATATCTTCAGTGTTTGAAAGGAATGATATTAAATGGTTTAAACTGGTGTAAATATGTATGGCAAATTCTGCTGTTGACACAAATTCTGTGTTCACACGTATTCACAAAAATATTAAATAATGACTTAGAAGAATGTAAATATATGATTATAGAATTAGAAAAGAAGCAATGTTTGAAGGTTAAGGTGATGGATGTGATTTATTTTGTTATTTCGGCTTACTGATTAGTAGATTGAGTATAAAGAAATTATCAAGTAGAGAGGGGAAAAGACAGTTATTGAAGAAGCACAACAACAAAGACACAAACACAAAAACAAAAACAAAAACAATAATGATCTCTCATCAGCAGCATAATCAGTAAGTAACTCCTAGTCCTATGCACAAAATGGAAAATATTCCAGACATTCACATGCATCCTTAATACAATGATTGCTAATTTTTAAACAACCTCTCCTATTACAGAGAAATGGAAATTTATGAAGACTCTTGTACAAAATTAAATTTGGAGCGGTGCTCGAAAGGCATCACAAAGTTGCCAACTAGCATTAATAGATTACCCTTTGAAATTTCATAACTACATGTAGTTTCTTATCTGTTATAAAATTTTCATTCAAATTGTCACTGATCTGTTTCTCCAATTTGTCTGCTATTATCAAAAACCAACTTAATATCAAGGTAGATTGTCACTTCAAACACGGCAATATCTCTCCAGTTATAGTTACGATGTCAAACACGACATTGATTATTATTAAAAGAACGTGCAAAATTAGTCAAATTAAGCGTTCCGCTGGCGGCCACCTTCATGCAGTGAGAGTTATTGTTAATTGGGTCATTCTTTTTGCATGCATATTAATTATCATTCTATGTGGAGGCATCATATCGTGCAAAACATAAAACTTTATGACAAATTCAGCACTTGTAATTAAAGTTCTGATGTAATTGGAACTGTACGTTGGGAGTTTTAAAGCCTGCACATACATAAAACTAAAAATTTGTGTTTAGTTTATTGAATATGTACATGTACATTCAATTAAGTAACAGGAATAAAATTAAACAAAATGTAAATCAGAATTAATCAGGATTATTGTAAGATAGAATATACAATTTAGGTATGATATAAATTAGGCCTGAGTCATGTCGGGATTTTCATAAACCGGGTCCCGACGGCCTTGCACGGATCGGGACCCGGTGTCCCGAAATCAGCTCGCAGGATTTGTCACTTGCCTCTATAAAAAGCGCATCATCAGTATGTCCCTTAAAAGTGACCTTTTTTATCAGTCAAATAAATCAACACATGCATACCTCGGCACAGATCAGTATATTCTTTCATTTGACATTATTTTTATCCATGATTGGCGATGTTTAGTGCCATTATCATGCCTCTAAAAGTAAAAAAAACTGGAGCAAAAATAGAAGACAATTAACGATCGAGCCGCCATTTTGATCCATGCAGGTTGAATAAATCGGGTCAAAAAACATTAATGTTTGAATAATAAAACGGCTTTCTAAAAAGTACTCCTTTACAACATACCGATCAAATAATTTTTAAAAACAAAATAGATATTTTTTCTTTGATTTTGAACACCACATGCTTCTTTTAAAAGCTGAAAATTACTTGGTAATCACAAGAAGTTTCGATACGGATAGCTGTTGCAAGGCAAGTTCAGACTAGTCTCGGAAAAATGCGCAGTGCTCCTTGTTAACTGTAATGCGTGCCAGAACGAACCCAAACAAAGACGTGATCGTAACGAGAAAAAAAATCATTAAAAACTACGAGAGCACAATTGGAAAGACAACTACTGCTCAAAATTACGATAATCAGATAAATAACTTGGACAAAGAATTCAATAATCGCCCAAGAAATGCCAAAGAAATTGTTATAATCGAGGAGTAACTGGGTACATTTTTTATCGCAAGGGGCTTGCTGATACTCGAATCCTTTGTTATACTGCTTTTTACCGTAGAGGGCGTTATTTGGTTTCTAGCCTCGTGTTAAAACACGAGGCTAGAAACCAAATAACGTGTAATTCGGACATATCAGCAGGCCCATTCCGATAATGATTGTACCTATAGTAACTCCTTAAATATCACCATTTCTGTGGCTTTTCTTGGACAACTATTGTATTATTCCTCCAAGTTATGTATCTGCTTACGATAATTTTGAGTAGTCGTCTTTCCAATTGTGCTCTCGTAGTTTTTAATGATTTTTTCTCGTTACGATCACGTCTTTGTTTGGGTTCGTTCTGGCACGGATTACAGCTAACTACGAGGAGCACTGCGCATTTTTCCGAGACTAGTCTGAACTTGCCTTGCAACAGCTATCCGTATCGAAACTTCTTGTGATTACCAAGTAATTATCAGCTTTTAAAAGAAGCATGTGGTAATCAAAATCAAAGAAATAATATCCATTTTGTCTTTTAAAAATTATTCGATCGGTATGTTGTAAAGAAGTACTTTTTAGAAAGCCGTTTTATTATTCAAACATTAATGTTTCTTTCAACCTGATTTATTAATCCTGCCGAGGTCGAGAGACCCGGCCAGTACAGTAGCTAGCTAGCAGCTGGCAACAACCCCATGGGGCGAACTGCTTTGCAACCCATATTTATATTAGCAGTTCGGATTGATTCAGGATGAGCTAGAATATGATTGGTAACAATTAAATACCTAATTTTCAAGGTGGAATGATTTTAGTGGTGTGCAAAACTGCAATTCCTTACATATTTCATTATTTTTTTCGGAGCGTCGGTTCTCAAAAAACGAAACCGGGACCCGACGGCAACGGTCGGGTCCCGGTGTGATCGACCGTACCGACTCAAGCCTAATATAAATTAATGTATTTCCTTTCAACTGACTTTTTAATTATAGAATAACAAGTTATTTGCATTTACAACTATTTGCATTTATAGTTAATTTAAATATATTCACAGACTAATGCATAAATTAATGATATCCACTTAAAAGAGTCAATGAATTTTTAACGTTACATCTATGCACTGAAGGTAAAATGTCACTGGTCTACGGCTTGCTCACTATTTTAGCCTCAAGAATTGGCTCAAATTTAGTCAGAAAACTATGCCAATATACGTTTATCTTTAGTTCTCATAAAGAAAAAATATTCACAAATAATTCAAGAGGATATATGAAATTGTTAAAGATTATGAATTATATCCCAAAAAACAAATAGGACAGAAAAAAATTACAACAAGCAAAGGAAGAAGGCCTTTTATTGGTTAAGCCTATATTCAATACTTCCTACATATGCAAATTTATGTTGGTCTTTTAAAACTCGCATAACTTTTAGTGGGTCAGAGTGATTTTGATTTCATTTTGCTTGTCTGAACAACCAATGCACCCCCGGAATAACAATTCAGGATCTAGACAGTTACTCTAGACTTGAAACTTCATTACAAGAACTGAAGATTATCTGGAGAAAGAAAAAAAGAACGAAAATAATTTTCATGCGAAGAAATGTAATCTTAGACCAACCTTCGTAATTGTCTGGACAGGCGCATGTGTAACTGTCAATCAGATCATCGCAAGTACCAGCATAGCATGGGTTCGATAAGCATTCGTCGATATTAATATCACAAAGTTGACCAGTGTAGCCTAAATAATATAAGGGAGAGAAAAATATGAAGGTGAAATAAACGAGAGTAGGTGAAATAAACAAGAGCATGTGTAGTCATTGAATTAGAAATCTATTTTATTTAATAACAATAACATACCAGTTATTTGTTGTTGCATAGCGCATTTCGTTGATATAACATCTCTATGTGCTTCTAGAGGACCTCCCCCAGCTGTAACCCTGGCAACCTTAGTGTGCAATGCATTCAAGGGTAAATCTTACTACAAGGTACCCGCTTCCATCAACTGCACGGAAGATGTAGATAAGTATCTCAGCAAGTATGTTTGTACCACGGCAGGGATTTGAACCCCGTACTATGCGGTTCACAGTCTTGAAACTTATCCACTGGACTTCAACACCACTCGCCATTTTTCACAATTGTTTCATCCACATGAAAGTTATTGGTTTTGCATTGCACTGTATTACTATGAATGTATGTACATTGTATCTATCTATCTATCTATCTTTGAGAAAGATAGGGGATGGAGAAAGTGAGAAAGAGTGAGAAAGAAAAAGAGAATGATAGAGAGAGGGAGAGAGAGGAACGTTAACAAAAAAGTTTACCTGGTAAGCAATCACACATGAACTCATTCACACCATCCACACATGGTGCTCCATTGAGACAAGAATCAGGCTGGCAGTCATCAATATTTGTTTGACAATCGTTACCAGTGTAGCCAGTTACGCACTGACAACCATAGGCCAACAACGTTCTGTCCGAAACACACGTAGCTCCGTTCTGGCACGGGCTGGAAGCGCAGTAGTCGGTCTCATATGCGCAACGTGCACCCTCGTAGCCTGGGACGCAGGCACACGTGAAGCTGTCAGAGCCAGCAGGAGGATTGGGAACATCAGAACATGTCCCACCGTTTAGGCATGGGTCGTTGTCGCACGTTGCAGATATCTGCAAGAAAAAAAATGAAGATACATCTTATTTGTTTCTAAACCTGTAGCAGAAAACAGTGTTTCCAATATAAAACATGATTATTTGAACTGGGTTTGGTACTGAAGAGACATGGAAGTCAATCATCCAAAATCTTTCCAAAATTTGCATCAATAAGTAAATTTTTGTTAAGTGTATATTTCTCTTTACGGATGTAAATTTGCATCAATAAGTAAATTTTTGTTAAGTGTATATTTCTCTTTACGGAATTGAGGTAGAGATTCATAGGAAGATAAAATAAAAATTGAAGCAAAGGTAACTTCTCCTTTAATAATTGTGATGTTTCTATTCATGGCATTGAGGTAGAGATTCAAGAGAAGAGCTGATCGATACACTGCCTGAACTTACATTAAATTCACACATTCTCCCTGTGAACTCTGCAGGACAATCGCAAGTGAATTCAGCAGTGCCATTTGTGCACGCCCCTTCATTCTGGCAGGGATCTGATGCGCACTCATCGATATCCACGCCGCAGTTGGTGCCTTCATAACCAGGTGCACAGGAACAGTTGTATCCGTTCACCAAATCAAAACATGTTGAACTGAACTGACATGGATCAGGGTCACACTCGTCGATGTTCGTCTCGCAGTAGTCCCCGGTAAATCCTGGAAGGCAGATGCAAATAAAAGCGTTCCACTGATCAGTGCAATTGCCGCCATTCTGACAAGGGGATGATGCGCAAACGTCGCGACCGGCATCACCAATAGTGACATCGGTGATGTCAATGGCATAGAACTGTTCCTCGTTGGTCGCGTTGTAGACGGACTGGTTAAAGAACGGCAACAAGAAGGTTCCGATGCGCACATCCTCTAGATTCCCTTCGTATGAAGTGTAGACATCAAAGTAATCGTTGTTGGCGATATCTGTGCCTCCAAGGTATACTATCCCACTGCTGCCATCATTAACCACGTCGCTCAGTCCACCCTGGAAGGTGATTTGTTCCGTGACATTGAAGTTATCAATCGCAACTGTGACCTCCGGAGATGCAAAGGTAATCCTCACATCATGATAAACACCATCCGAGACAGAATAATCAGGCACGATTTCATATACGGTACCCAGACTGCGAGCTTGGGTACCAAAGAAGAACCTGATGGATAGTTTGGAATCCTGGATGTCTATGGTGATGAAGTACCCTAGGACGTCGTTGGAGGAATGCAGTATTAAGCCCACATCTCTACGTGTCTGTAGTCGGAAGGTGATGGTGCTGAGTTCCCTGGTAGTGTTAAGGCTATTGTTGTACTTTATCATGCTTCCAGAACCACTGAATGTAGCTGGTGTAAGGCCTTTAAGAAGTGAGAAAAGACAATGAATATTACTGCAATGCAGAGAATACTTTCCTAAATGGTATAAAGAATATAACTTTTTCTTCAACATCTTAAAGTGTACCAATTACCTGACAAATAATTTGTGTATAGCTAGAAATGCATAAAATCAATCTAAAAAAAACTTTACCTGGCAAAGGTAAAGGGTAAAGGGTTGAAGAGTATGAAGAAAAATAAAAGATAACATTGAACCCCGCATACAGGGCCCACACAAAACCTAAGTAGAACTGGGGTTCTGTGTGAGCCCTATCCTATACAAGAGCGTATGCATGCCTTAACTAGAATACCATTGAGAATATATTTAAAGTGAAATATCTCTTTGTAGAAGTAATATTTGAAGCTCATATTTTGAATACAATTTAGCGACATGGAAGCCTTTACATCAAGATCAAAACATGTTTTGGCGATTGGTACACTTTATATGTTATTTCTCGAGGGTCACTTTTATGGGTTTTGTTCATATACATGTATCCATCGTTTTTCTTTGTGTTTTCAAACAACAGAACCTTACTTGGTTTTTTGTTTTTTTAAATCTGATGAACTCAGTAGCTTCATTGTCATCTTGGATAATGACTTCTATCTCAGTATGAATAGGCAGCAGGAACTGAAGTACACTCATCTACTTTAAGGGAAAGAACCAAAATGAAGATCAAATCAAATTACAGTATAAAATATCATCTAAGGTCATAGAACTTACATTCATATCCTTCATCTCTGTCAAGACAGTCTGCACCCCCTGGACAAGGGTTCACGGAGCAGATAGTTTCCTCCGAGCAGTTCTTCCCTCCATAACCGTTGGGGCAATCACATTCAAAGTCATTCCAGGTGATGCTGCAGATCCCTTCACTTTCGCAGGGTTCAGGATCACAAGTATTGTCACTGTTGCACATACTGATCACATTGGAGTTGGTGGCAACAGGAATGGAGTCGATCTGAAAGTCTACAATGTCCAGGGGGAAGAACTCCAAGGAGTAGTTGTTGTATTTGATGTCCCAGAGACATCCCTTGAAGTACATGGAGCCCGAAACTGCTGAAGGTAGGCCACCAGCGTTGAAATCAGCTACACCTCCTACAAAGATCTGGTCAAAAGATGGCTCACTGCTGCTTGCAAGCACTTCCGTCTGAGGCAACGATGAGTCCAGAGTGAGGGTCATGTTGGTGGATTGTCGGCTGAACTCTAGAGAATGGTACCGCCCATCCGAGACAGAATCAGATACCCTGAGGCTTCCAGTGATACCATCAAAAGACACGTCAGCAATCACAGAGCTGTTGTCTATCGCAAGTACGATGAAGTCCTGTCCTGAACCTGTGTAAAGGAGAAGTCCATCCTGTTCCCTGGTGCGGAATATTAGTCTGATGGTGTTCTCTGATTCGGAGAGGGGATATCCTGAGGTCTCAAACATGGCGTAACTTGTAGTGTCCTCAAAGCTGAAAGTTCCCTGCACAAAGCCTAGATTGAAAACAAAATAAACACCAAGATTATCTCCTTCCATAATGATATCCTCCATTCCAGTATAAAAACTAGCTACTTCTTGACTTATTCTCGATAAATACTTTCACACATCCCAAACAGTCAGGGTAGGGTGTGCTACTATTCTTTATGCAGAAAAGAAGAAAATCAAGTTTGGCTCGTTATTTGTTTATTCATCAAGGAAATTGCACACTGTTGACTTAAACATATCTTACTCAAGGATTGATTTCACAGGATTGCAGGTAAGGGAACAAACAAATATTTGTCTTACGATTCTGCAAAACATTCTGGATGAAAGCAAAGGAGAAAGAAAGATTCTACGTTACATGTAGTTTGTGAACTAATATTCAAAAATGTCTTTTTCTTGATCAGTCAGTTGTAAAAACTAGAAAATAACTGCAATCATAAGGAATATTTCTTATTGTTTAATATATATACATGAATGTGCAACAAATCAAATGAGCCATTGACATTTAAAACCTACATGAAAATTCAAAGAGTCCCACTCTAATAGATTGGTATCCCCAAAGTGTTAATCTAACATTGATACACATCCTACAGGCTGAAATACTGTAACCCTTAATAGTAAATGACCAAGCAGAATGAAACATGGCAACTGCCTGTAGAAAATATTTTGCCACACAAACATAAAAAGGTCTAAAAATGTCTAGTTCCCAGAAACACAAGGTCATTCTAACCCTGCTTCACCATTTATCTGATAGGCTTGTCCATTTCCTATGTTCATTATAATGTGGGATATGTACTCACTTGTTTCACAACTGGGTCCAGTGTATCCAAGCCGACATTGGCAAGTATAAGTCCACCAGAGATCTGTGCATTCTCCTTGTCCATTGCAAGGGTCAGGGTCGCACTGTAATGTCCTGGAACAGCCACTCTCCGCGTGTACAGTAGGATTTGTGGCCATGATGAAATCATCTGATGACGTCTGCTTTACATCCCTCATGCATCCAGTGTAGGCGTTGTTGGTAATAGGTCCTGCATAATTCGTAGGCACATGACCAAAATAGACAGAGCTGAAGACAGAGAGTTGGGTGTTAAAGGTGCCTATTTCGCTGCAGATGTTGTTCTGACAGCTGTCCGATGTAACATTGGCCTCAATGAAGCCTGGTTCAGACTCAGAGTCGATAAGATTTATTTCAAAGTCATGCCACTCTCCATCATCAAGATCAGAACCAAGACCTGTTATTGTCACAGATTCCCCCGTCGCATCCTCACGGGAAGTCACAGAGAGAGAACCGTCCACCATTTCAACTGACAACGAGTCGCCCAAGGAGAAGGATTGAAGCAAGTGCCCACTGGGGATCGTAGTGGAAAATGAGAAGGAGAACTGAAAAGGGAGAGCTGATGGAAAAGCATACTCAAGATATTGGCCAGTGCCATAGAAGCTAGCTGATGTGTCCTCAGCGCAGAACTGTCCTGCGTATCCTGGTGGGCAGATGCAGGAGAAACCATGAGCTCCTTCTCTGAAAAAGGGGTTGCACATTGCCTCATTCAGGCACTGTGTATTGTCAATGCAGGCGGTCAGCACCACATCACATCTTGTATCCCCGTACCCTTCCGGACAGCGACAAAAAAACGCACCGACGGAATCTTGACAAGTCGCTCCATTGGCGCAGGGGCTGGATGCACATTCATCGATGTCGTTTCCACAAAAGTCTCCATCGTAACCATTCGCGCATGCACAGTCAAAGCGGTTCACCCCATCGTTACAGGTTGCACCATTGGCGCAAGGACCTGAAGCACATTCATCAATGTCCACCTCACAGTCCACCCCTTCAAACCCATCTAGACAGACGCAGACATAACCACTGGCATTGGCGTAACTGAAGACATCCGGAACGTAATCACTATACTGGTTTCCTGGCTCATAAAGAGTCTGATTAGACAACTGAAGACAGGTGGCCCCATTTTGGCAAGGGGACGGCGAGCATTCATTGATGTCAATCCCACAATTAATGCCTTCATAGCCAAGGTAACAGGAACAGTTGTAGAACTTGATACCGTCCATGCAGGTCCCTTCATTTTGGCAGGGGTTTGAGGCGCAGTCATCAATGTTGTTGTTGCACTCAGGACCATCAAACCCAGTGTCAGAGCAATCACATACGTACCTGCACAAGAACAGAAAACAAATGTACACTGTCAATGACAAGTTCCTTTTGAAATGAGGGGTTGGATTGGTAAAGTAGCAGAATAACATCGAGGAAAATGAATGCAATGGAAAATGGGAACAAAGCACTGATTGTGAAGAACATACATGTACATGTATGACATTTCAATATCTGGTAATACATGTATAGTGGAATATTAGTGTTAACGCTCTAGGAGTGAAACTTTCTTTCAAGGGATATTTCATAGGTGTGGCCCTGTTTCCTAAAACTATCTACATGTATCAATAAACTACATGTAAGCTTCTGAAATTATGGCATATGATTGGGTCTTTGGCTGAGAGTAAATTTGTCATAGATATTTAGCATTTGATATTAATAATAAGTTGTATGCAACAGGGCACAGGACTACCATGCAGTTTTCAAGGAAAGTTATCTCATTCCAAAATATTAGATAATACAGCATTCCTTTGAATTAATAGTACAGAGTATATACATTTACAAGTAAAGCTCAAATAACATATGTCTTCATGATTCTATAAAAAATAAAACTTGTAAAGCCTTTCTCACAAAGAAGCAATGTACGTTACTAGATACCGGTACGCATCACATGCATAGATCCATAATGGTAGCAAAGGGATCATAATACATGCAAATACATGTTGATTACGACATACACTGTATTATGCAATCGTGCGAAACTACACCTACTGTAAGCAAACATTACAGTTTCATCAAATTGTGTTAATATTTCAAATTGAATTAAAAACATGCGTGTAACACAGCACAATTTAAAATTACAAACAAATACGAAAATGTGCTTTAAAGCCACAAGCTTCGGTTATTTCACAAATTCATACAGCCAAAACAATTTTTATTTGAAGTGGTTATTTTTATCATAAAGGTCACAAAAATAGGTCCATATAATTAATTAGAAGGCTGTAAACACCGCCAACACACAGTACTTTTTTTTCACCTTTGTATTGTGCTACAATAAGCTATAACATAGCCGGAATTTCAAACTGGAGGAAAAATGATTGCAATGCTCTTCAACCAAATGGCTAGTCCAGATTATGTCATTTTAAGATTTTGTATTGTTCAATACCGGTACTCTTTAATCTCCTCCCTTTATACACCCATCCCACACAGCGCGATATCTCCACTGACCGCACGACACCCAAAAATACACCCATCGCTTGCAAAGGTAAGGTAAAAAAGGACTATCTCTGTTTTAGCGTTGAGGGTGTGTTAGTTTCTCAGCTGATTGGATACAAAACACGGAAGCAGTCCAGGCACTTTATACTTCGCAGAAGACAGGAGAAAAGCAATAGCCACAAGCAAAAGTGTGAAGTGCCACCCTAAAACTCATCAACTAGTCTGCTCATGAGTCGCTCAAGAATGTGTACAGCTCCAATGTGCATTGACTGTGTAAAAATCAACTGCAAAAAAAAATGAACCTGGCATTCCATGGTTTAATGTTAAGAAGTATGAAGAAATAAGGGACACTAATAATAAATGTAACTCTGTGGATACCTCAACGTGCATGTGGAATTAATTAGGAACTAAACAGAAGCGTTACAAGATTTTTTTAAGGAACCAGAGGTCAAATACATGTACAATTTTTGGTAGTTACAAAAATAGGGCACACACAGAGCCCAAGTCGGACTTGGGCTCTGAGCACACCGCACTATTCTGCAAGCACGTACATGTACAGGAACTTTGACTAGTCTACTTTGTGCTCTAGTGCTTTTTTTAGGAGTGCTTTTGGGGAGTGTATTTGAACATGTATGTATGCATTATCTTGTCATAGAAGCAATATTTGAAGCTCACATTCAATACAGGATGGAATAAAAATGGAACCAATCACAAACAAGAGCAAAACATTGTCTGGAGATTGGTTCACTATGAAGGGGACAGGAAAGGAGGCGCAGAGATTCGAAAGTGTGAACTTACCCTGGTTGAAAATTGCTGCATGAAAGTGATCGAGGCAAGAAAATGAAACGCATACACCAGCGATAAAATGAAAGATCAATGAAAAAGATGTACAGTGTAGATGCAGATGTAGGTAAGTAGGTAATGCAGAAAAAAAAACACCACACTAAATCACAAAGAGATACTTTTTTGTTTTAAATTGTAGTGAAAATGCTAGAACCCAATGAACGTTAAGACCGAGATGTGCCTGACTAGAGACTAGAGTATAAGGAAAATTGTATACCAAAATAATCTGTATAATCTAATGGGTAGAAGAACAAGAAATGCTGCGATCCAAAGAGATACAAATCTGCAAATTTTACTTTCAAAAGGGAGAAGGAGCAATTGTGCTAAATGGATACTAGGGAGGAAAAAAAATCATGAATTATGAGTCATCACTGACCTCGGTATTAAGAAACTGGTTATTTTTTCAATATTTTTTTTCCCCCTCTTGTTTTGTTCAAACGATGGGAAAAGGGAAAATGGTATTTCCCCATGAAAATGACCTGAATATGACATGAATATGATATGAAATGTTTCATTACGTAAATATTACTTTCTCAAGATAACTTTTTTTTAATTGTATGAAAATGACTGGTTTAATTTTGCATTCAGGGAATTGACAGCCAAAGACAGAAACTGACTTCTTTGTGGTTTTGAGTTGTCAAAAAGGTAAAAATTTGTGGAGAAATGTATCAACTATAATTTGAAAATTTGTAATGTATGAAAAATTTATATCAGATAAGTATAAACATTGCTATGACATGTGAAAGAATTTAAAACAAGTAAAAGTTATGTGTCTGCAGTTTAATAAAGATATCTATATTATACAGATTAAGATGAATATTTAATGAATATATTTTCCACATGTATCCATATACATGTGGAAAATATATTCATTAAGGAGGTGTAGTACCAAAAAAAGATGAATCTGGTGTAATGCTTGAGAAATAGCCCTCAGTAAATGAAAAGATATGAATTCCCAGAACACCAAGTAGAAATACCCACATGCAACCCCACATACATAACATATATAGCTTAAAAGCAAGGCATAGTTTGGATTTTTTTCCAATGTTTATTTAGAGCACATTTGCTGCGTAATTTTAACTTAATTTGCGGTTCTAAGGAGCCCTTTTTTGTAGAAGTTAAGCTAATTCAATATTGATAAACTTTTTGTTTGAGCAATATGCAGAGACACAACTTTCTACAAAAAGTGTTTGCCTATTCTATGATGACTGATGACTCGGTGTAATAGGTATTTGGTACATGTGGCATCTGCATGCTCTAATTTGAGTAAAAGATTCTTTAATACTACAAGGCTTAATGAAAATCTTTGCCCAAACTATGCTTTGCTTTTAAGCCTTAGTAAGAAGAGTTAAGGAATGGTTTCGTACAGAATATTGCTAAACACCACAAAGTAAATATAAACCATTGAATTCTGTATAGTTGGTTTAAAAGTAGTTTTCTCACCCATTCACTTCGTCCGTGCACACTCCACCATTTTGGCAAGGGTTCGATGCACACTCGTCGATGTTGATCTCGCACTTGATCCCGCTGAAGCCTGGTGCACACTCGCATCTGAATTGGTTGACCTCGTCCACACAAGTAGCGTTGTTGGAGCACGGAGAACTCGCACACTCGTCAATATTTGTCCCGCAGGCGGCATCGGTGAAGCCCGGAACGCAAGTACAAGAGTGGCCTACGGGTAGATCCATGCAAGTTGCGCCGTTCAGACATGAATTGACATCCTGCTGACCGCACTCATCTAACTCTGTCTCGCACGTAGTCCCAATGTAGCCCTGAGGGCAGAAACACTCAAACCCATTGAGCTTATCTTGACATATGCCGGTGTTTTGGCATGGCTGCGAAGTGCATTCGTCAATGTCCGTTTGGCAGCGATCCCCCTCGAAGCCTCCAGCACACGTGCAAGTGATATTCCCTTCGTTGACAGAGCATGTGGCACCGTTCTCGCATGGAGTCAACGAGCAGAGGTTGTCGGCGCAGTTGGGCCCGATGTTCCCCGCCGTGCAGGTGCAGTAGTACCCACCATTGGTGTCGGAGCAGCCTGCTCCGTTCTGGCAAGGGCTGTTCTGGCACTCGTTTTCGTTGGTTTCGCAGCGGGTTCCTGAGTAACCTGTACCGGTGCAATCACATGTGAAGGAGTTGATGCCGTCCTGGCAGGTTCCTCCGTTCAAGCATGGATTCACCTCACAGTCATTGATTTCTAAGGTACACAGAGTGCCTGCATAACCTAATCACAATACACAAACAGGAGATAAGGATGTCAAAGAAAAGATACTTTATAATATCATTTGTTCATTTAAATAAAAGTATAAATAGCAACAGATGACATTCATATATTTCAGTTCTAACATTGTCAAAGATTGGTAGACAATTTTTTTACTCTACCGATAAATAATTTTCATCTTGTCGTGTCTTTGGTACCCAGTTTCCATAGATAATTTTATGTCAGTCAAATAAATTGTGCTCCCTCAAGTTTTTCAAGTTGCTAATATAGGCATATACAAATTACGATTTGGCAGAAATTTGAAGGGCGAAATCAGAAAGGCTGAAATAAAGTAAAAATTGAAATATTCCGCCAATATCAGGAGGGTTGGGAGGTCTGCTACCCCTATACTTTCATTGAAACAGAGCCTGGAGCAAATCGTCGCCTGGCTGGCAGAAGGGCGTTTGCTCAAATTTCAGGTAAAAAATGAAACGTTAAGCAGAGGGGCGTTAGCACTAAATCGCCTCAAGCTTTTATAAAACTGACTTATTTCCGCAAAAGAAATTGTGGTTGTGTTCTACTATAACATTTCTATCAGTCTTTTAAGTTTTAAACCAATTTTCGGGACGGAAAGCAGTTTAAATATAAAACAAATCTTTAAATGCGAATAATCTGAAAATTTGTTTTTGAGTCGCTTGCGTGCTGACGCCCTTCTGCCAGCCGGCCGACGATATGTCCCCTGAGGAAATGTTGGATTGCCTACCTGCTGAACAATGGCATATGATTCCATCAACAGCGGCGTTGGTCTGGCACTCGCCGCTGTCACCACAGGGGTTACTGTCGCACAGGGTGGAGCTGGTGTTACATGCCAGTCCTCCGTACCCCGGGTTGCACCTGCAGAAGGTGGTGTTGGACTCCCCATCCTCCATGCAGGCACCGTTGACGCAGTCCAGAGCGAATGATGGGTTGCTGCAAAGTTCACCTACGAGAAGAGTGAAAGCAATGCCTCTAATAAAAGGAAACCTTAAACAGGATTTGCTAATCTTCATTTCATGGCCTCTTCTCCCAATAATCTCTTTTGTATTTCCGACCGACCGACCCATGTTTTGGCACCAAAAGGGCAATACAACAAGTTTTTGTTTTAGGCCTTATAGTCAATTTATGTTCAGAACTCTACAATACTTGGTGATGCACGGAACACCACATGACCAAATACCTTGGACTTGCCCACACCAATGGTCAAGAATATCTGGAGAAATAGTACAGGGTGTCCATGTCAGTTAATGAAGTCTCCAGACCGGACAGTTCATGCAATGTACCTTACACAGTGACTGAGTCAGGTATGTGTCTGCTAATCCTCAGCAAGCACTGTACCACCACCAGTCATTCATTCGGATTCAGCAGGTACCTCTAGTTACATGTACGCGAGGTTCTTTGGACAGCATGGTGACTTACCTAGATCATTTTCACATGTGGTGCCGTTGAATCTTGAAGTGCACTGGCAGGTGAATCCGATACCATCACTGCTGCATACACCATTGTTTAGACATGGCTGACTGGCACAAGGGTCTTGAGGTCCTTCAAAGATTGGAAGCAAATATTTCATTCTATTATAAGTCAAACGCTGCACATTCATATACCATTTTTTTCATTGGGGAGGCTGATATACCAGTACCGTTTTATTGTCCCAGCCCACTTAGGGGAGACATCCAGGCGTGCAGCAGAAAGGGCAATGGAGAGTGTTGTACAGTATGGTAGGTGTTTTTTTTTTGGGGGGGGGGGCACAAAACTTCCTTATTTTTTTTTAACCCCAAATATTTTTTGGGGGGGTCAATCTGTAAAATTTTCTTGCTGCAAATTTGGTGATGGTTAACACAATTTTTGTCTCCTGACGATGGATAGTCAACCTGTTTGAACTGTCGAGCCACTCCTACTACCCATTCTCTCTAACCAAAAGCTATAGTTCTCCTTAGAACTGTAAGCTCAAGAAAGATACCTAGTCTTTTTCCGGAATTCACACACACTCAAGAAAGAAAGATTACCGACAGTTCTTTTCAGGACTCCCCAATCCTCCCAATCCTCCCCCCTCCCCCCTCCCCCCCCCCCCCCCCTCTCACATGGTGCAACCGTAGACCTACTGTACAATTTTGAATTTGTCCATTTGGTTTTTATTCTATCAGTACCTGGTAAACTGGTACTCTGGCACTTACCACATCCGATGTCTTGATCAAGAGGGCAGACTCCCCATCTCGCGTTCGACCAGGACACTGCGTTGGCAAAATCGATCCCCACTATCTCCTCCATGCATCCTGTAAAGCCTGTCCCAAGGACCATCACCGGAGACAAAGCCAGATCCAGAAGCGTTGGGTTCTTGATGAACGTCGCCAGCTCGATGGCCTCATCCCGCACCCTCAGCACCACAGACTCCCCAACATACACAAAATCAACGATCGTCCAGAGGTTGTCGTTGAACCCTTCACCTACGGCAGTCTCCATCACGCCCGAACCACTGTTCCAGCGGATGCGGATGGAGCCCGTTTCATTTATGCTCACTGCGATTGTCTGATCACCGTTAGTCTGCGAGAAAAGCTCGCCGCCAGTGCAAGTCCTGAATTGTAATGTTATCTGTCCTTGAGCAGAAAATATTGTGTTGGTTTCGACGGTCGCTGTGCCGTTGAAGAAGACTAGGTTCTGTGGTCCTTCAGTCTGTGATAGGACTGTATGAAGCACCAGCCCTATGGTATAGATGAGAATAAAGACAAACAAAATATATGTAAAGATTTTACAGTCAAAATATCGTTTCTAAAGCCGACAAGTGGACTCATGAACATCTTACACAAATAACTACATACATGTACATGTGTACATACATGTACATATTGTACACATTACATAAATGTATGTAGTCAAGAGGAACTTTCTTAGGGAACCTGAGAGGAATTATGGTCATATTCAAATGCTAGAGTAAAAAAGAAAATAACATGATGGTATGTACGTGTATGCTATTGAAATAATAAATTGCACCCTCGTACAAACAAAACACACATCCTTATATTTCGTTTGACTGTCACTTTGACAAACAACTGTCAAGGTTGAGAAAGTGTGGCTTGTACATGTACACTTTATGTGTGCATGGACACTTTATACTAGTGTGAATAAATTCAACGAATTTAGGAAAGTACTTTCAAAGTAGACATTTTTACATGTACATGTATGCAGGGATCGACACTAACGAATCCCCAACACTTTGGTCTGGACCCCATAATTTAAAACTTTTTTGTTTACATACATCTACAAAAAAAAGTACATAGAGACTCTAAAAACCTACACTCTAAATCCGGATTCCCTTCCCCAAAAAAAGTAGTGTGGAGCCCAAGGCCCCATTTCACAAAACTTGTCATCAGTGACAAATGACAGCTCTTGTTATACATGTAAGCTAGTGAAATCCTTGCTTCTGAGTGGTTATCAGCAGATTTCTGAGTGGTTATCAGCAGATTTGTCACTGATTTTTGTCATTTGTGATAGAAAAAAGGCTTTGTGAAATGGGTCCCAAGTGTATGTGGGGAAATACTTCATGTACATGTATATGTCTTTAGTTTATTTCATACATGTACACATTTACATAGTGCATACCGGTACATGTACATGTACATATCCTCCATGAACATAATTCATTAACTGCTTCAGACAGCATGTACATTACATGTATAAATGTACCAATCTATATATACATGTACTTTATAAATGATTAGCTGTCAAATCTGAATGTACAGTAATGATTATTCTGTGTTCCATAAATTCCATTCAGCCAATAGACTGCTTTGTGCCATGTATGTACATGTATACCGGTTTGCCCATATTTGAGGTAAAACATACATACATGTATGTACCCCTTGTAAATTTGATGTTTTTTGTGAATTTTGTAACTCAAGAACGAAAGATGGGCTGGTTGAATAAGGACCTTTGTTGAATACTTTTAGATGTAAGCTTGTCACCTTCTCATCAAACATAAATCTGGACAAATCAATATTTAACATACCCTGTACACTGTACAATACCGGTAAATATGTACAAAACTTGGTAAGGGTATGAATCATGAATAATTTAATTGTCAACTGTATATTTACGGTATGGTGCTGCTGTTTTCATTTGAATAAACCCATACACCCTGTATGTATAAATACAAACAAAAACACAACACTCCGATACGATTCTACTGTCAACAGAGCAAACAATCAACATCGAACAGACAGGTTGAATATTGATAAATAACAAGTTGGGTGTAACCCTTGTATGAATGAATCACTTTTGTACACAATGGGCCACTTAATTAAAATCCTGCAAATTCTGCACATCCTGCAAATTCTGCACATACAATGGAGCCAAAATAATTGTATGATTTGGAATATATATTGCATTGGTAATATTTGGTACTGGTACTTGCCGTACACAGGTGGAAATACATGTACCTGTACTGTACACATGTAAATGTCAACATCATTCGGGTTTGGGATTACCTTTTCCAAATACTGGTATCTTTTTTAAAAGACATGATTGTGGATTTTATCCATATATTTCAAGTGCTATTAAAGACCATCTGTCAGTAAACAAACATGTACATTATATCGTCTGCTGAGAGCCAGAAGGGCATTATATTCTTTACAAAATACATGTATGATTACAATGTAGTTAAAGAGAAGGTTGAGTTCTGGGAAGAGGTGAACAATAATTTGTGAGCGTTATCATTCTTATTATGCAATTGTGGAAGAACATCAGATAAGACATGTTCCCTGAAAAGTATGGCTCTTCAAATGCCTTTATATTCTAAATATGTCATGTAACATCGTAAAACTCGGGGGTAGGATTTTTGCGCCACGTGTTCGTGTAGTCCCATATACATCTTTCTGTGTACAGTGTTTGTAACTCAACCAAGACTTGGCGAAATTTCTTATCATTTTGATGATTCCAGAACCTTGCAATACACACAAAATCTTATATGCTAGATGATCAACCTTTTCTGGTCGATTCCACACCGTTTCTTTCACAATGCGATTGCATGACCATAACTCAACTTCATCTTTAACACTATAGATGTGGCCTATGTGTTTATCCCCTATCAGACCTTTGCAGACCCCATGGTAATTTCCTCTGCACCAAGTACAGTATATTATGTGGGAAGAATTTGGGAGTAACTTAATATTATTATCATACAATTCTTTTAAAAAGTTCAAAGATTCAACTTTTTTTTTAAAAATCAGACAATTTCAGACATTTCAGAGAAACTTGGCCATGCAAATCCTCCAAAACCTGACACCCGATTTAAAACAAGGGGCAAAAAAATGTGCCAGGAGGGGTAAAATTCAACCCATGATCTTGTACCCCCGAGAACGACCCTGCATCCAGTCATGCAACGACAATCATGGGGTCATTTTACAAGAGGGTGCGACTATAAGGAGGAAACAAAATGGAATTTGAGCATTGCCTGTAGGAGGCTATGCTAGTAAACATTGGTATCGAATACACAGGTACATTTGGACGTAAAGTTGAAGGAAGAGTTGGGAAATTTAAGCAGTCTTGAACTGCATTCTGTAAGTAGGGACAGGTCTCTATTATTTAAGCATTTTCTATCTGATCTACATGTACATGTACATGTGTATGTAACTTATGAGACCTGAAACTGCAAACACCTTTAGCTGCAGACATTCTACATGTAGATGCCTTACATGTAACAACAAACACATTCTAAATATGTACATTTAAAGGGAGTGGGTAGTCAGTTTCCATGTGCAGAAGGCTATAATTCGCTGACACCAGACTTGGTGGAAATACCATTAATGGGAGTACAAATCTGCACACAGCAAACCCGTTGGCCCGTCAAGAATTACCCCCTAGTCTCTCGGAGCTTGCTCGGAGATTATTCGGGCGAAGGAAAAGCAAAACATTATATAAGGTAATGGTCATAAAACTCAAGGCTAACCCTGGTGATTGACAATACCTGTTATTTTGGTAAACACCCGAACAGTGTAGAATTCCCCATGAGAGCTGACTTCTATGTGACTTTAATCTATATCTATTTTACCAGTATTTATTTATTTCCTTTTGTTGGTGGTGTTTATAGGTCTAGACCTCTGCTGAAAGGGATTTGTTAAATTCAAGAGGCCGTGTCTGTACACAGTACAGCTTCAACCTCCAGTTTGAGTGCCAAACTAGTCAACAATTATCCTATTGTAATTCACAACTACTACACAACACAACTATACTGCAGAGTTATTATAACTCCCTGCCACCGTCAAAAAGCTTTTCATTCCATTTGACACAAAGTCTTTCATCACAGGCCTTGCAAACATCAAGACATTCCTTTCAGATTGTGACACACTAGGCCTGTCTTCACTATCTCGAGATTGCCAAATATCCAGCTATTTGAGCTATCCCGATCGCAAACTATCCAGCTAATTTGCGTCTTCATTAGAACGAAGTACATGTAGCAAATTAGCTGGATAGTTGGTCGGGATAATATTCCAAGATATCTCGGTCTAGTTTGCAAAATATCCCACTATTTCCCAACTAGCGGGATAGTTTGCGACCGTCTTCATTAGAACGAAGTACGGAGTCAAATATCCCGATCCCATCATGCACAACGATTTCCGGTTTTCCGTGTTTATTATAGTTGTACTATCGCGCGCACATGCGATCTATACCGCTTAGCGCAAATTAGCTGGATAGTTTCGATCGGGATAGTTCAAATAGCTGGATATTTGGCAATCTCGAGATAGTGAAGACGGGCCTACTGAAATAAATTATTGAAAATGTCAGGTAGTTGTGGGGTCATTATTTACAGTTGTTGGGTCTATAGTACAAGGGAATTAACCCTTCAGAAACTTCACCTCAAAGAATCAGTGTAGGTATTCTGAAAAATTAGATGTACAGTATTCCTGCCCTTTGATGTACAATATTCCTTACAAAAATGCAAATGAGATACTAGTATATAAATGAAGACTTTTAAAATCAATTAAACAAAACCTTTACTTTTTCCAATAAGGAAAAATCATAGCTGAGAAGATTATTATTTGATGAAAAATACATACATGTTAAACAGGGGAACAATTGTTACTAATTCATTTTAAAATACTAAAATATAGCAGTTGACGAATCTATTTCTATTTATGGGAAACCTTCACCCCAAAAGAGCACCTACTTATTTGCGCTTTGGTGGGGAATCTTGTAGGTTAATGGTCAAGAATATAATAAATCTCTCAGAATAAGTAAAGTTATTTCTTGGGGTGAGGTTTCCTTTATTAAAAGGCATACCAATCAGCCAAATCATGTTTTGCTCTTGATGTAAGAGGTTCCATGTCGCTAAACTACATGTACAGTACATGTATATTCCAAATACACTGTATGAGCTTCAAATATTACTTCTACAAAGAAAGATTGGAGTTCAAATACATTCACTCACTCAGATAAAGAACATGCCAGTGATTGCAGCATGTGAGGTCATTTAAGGTCAAAGTGCTGACCCTTCCCTAATTTGCCATAAACCCTCGAGGCTACATATCTTGAGAAACGTGATAATTTTCCTGACAAGGAAAAAATGCATGCCTGAAACTGTCCCCTGAAGTTCCTGAACCCAGTCAACTCTGGAGATAAAAAGGACTGTTCAGACTTCTTTATAAAGGAAAAGTAGTATAATAATAAAAATAATCATAGAGGAGCAAAAGGAGCATTCATAATAGAA